GTTCGCTGGGAAGACAAAAGAACAAATGCCAGTATTCTAGCTGACACCAACTGTAGGAGCATTGAGGCTACCATTATCCATGAACATTATGCTGGACTGGCTATGTTACCTGCATGGGTGACAGTAGAATGCCAACACAGGTAATTTATGGTCACCTAACGAATAGTAAAAGTAACGCTGGAGGGCAGCTGAAAAAGTATAAGGAAATTTTAAGATAAACCTGAAAAAGTTCCAAATCGACCCCTTCACGTGGGAGACTATTACTCCATGCTGTAACGCTTATAAGAGCACCACACAAGAAGGTATCAATACTTTAGAGTTAATCCGACTGCATACCGAGGCAGACAAGTGCCAGCGCCGGAAAGACGCTGCCGCCGCCCCTCCCCACTAGATGTAACCCTCCACACGTGCAACATCTGTGAACGACCCTGTCTGTCTCGTATGGCCTCTTCATTCACTTTAGAACTCATTAATGAAGGTGACATTCTTAATAATTCATATCAAGGTATCAGAGCTGGATGGTCGTCATACTCGTTCCTGAGTGACAGCAAAGTAGTAGTATGTATATTTATATTTATATCTAATATTGTAGATGATAATCTTCAAATTAACTATAAATATACATAGTTATAACAAATACCTATAAAAAGTTGAAATTCATATAAATGCTTAACGTTCTAAAAAAATTGTTTAAACTATTGACACCTTGACAGAAGCAGTATTAGATACGTAATCAGCATGCCAAAATTATTAAAGAAACATATAAAAATTTGCATAACTGTTTTGCATAGTGAAATAATTTACATTAAGTACCAAGAATGAAAATTTGAAATATTTTTAGACCTCCCAAGGATAAAAGCACAAGGATTTATCAAATTATTTTTATTTCATATAACAAAATGTAGCTTTTATCAAACTAAGTTGAAAGTGAAAATAAGAATATCGTGTAGAATCAACCCTGTCTCTTATCTTACTTTAAAGACCAGAAACGATTTTTACTAAATTCTTAAATCTTTATAGTCTTTCTATTTGCAATAGTTTGTTGGCACTAATGTTTTTATTTCCCTGTGTTTTACTTAAAGAGTAGAAGCAAGAATTTAAGACATCCTGAGGTGGTTTGCGTGTATGACTAATGTACTGACAGTGCCTGAACAAAATGCATTTGCAATAAATATTTTTTTTTATATCAACATTATTTGGGTTATAAATATTTTAAATCTTAAATTCAGCACAACTTTAAAGACAATTTACGTCTTGTGTCTCTGTATGTTGGTCCGTCCAACACAGAGTGAAAATTGATTTAATGAGGTGAATTTGGGAGTCACATGGAGGGTAGGGTTGACGGCTGACAGTGGTGATGGCAGACTGACAGTTCAGATGGACGGCTGACATTGGGCCAAGGTTATGGAAGTCAGCCATGGGCCACAGAGATCATGTGGTCAGCGTTTTAACCCGTGATTGATTTGTGGTATTTTAAAAGGTTTCGGATCAAACAAAGAGTTTCGTTGTTCTTGTGACTTGAAGAAAGATTTTATTTGACTTGGTTTAATATGTACATTATCATGCAAGCATAAGCTGATTCTGCGTACGGTATACAAGTATAAGTTAACACTACTGGATACAAAAAAGCTGGCACTCTGAAGTAGCCTATACAAAAAACTGATATCAGTGTCTCCCAGGTTTGTGGCACACTGAAGGGCCAAACCAGGCAATGTAAATGATTTCCATTCAGTATTCAATGTGATGAGTCCACAAAAAGGAGCCATGTTATTGTATTTGGTTAATGACAAATAATTAGTCACATGTTAAGAAAATAACCATGAGGTAACTTAATTTCCAACAAAATTTGGCTCATTGAAAATTGCTTACATTAGCAACATTACACGGCATTTTCACAATAATATTCAAGTGTAATTAAGCATAACTTTGATGTTCTAAAACATATGAACTTATTTGATATTATTGACCAATAATTTAAGGATGATGTCAAAATAGACCACCCAATGATTATTCAATGCTCGTGTATTAAATTCTCATTTGTGTATATTTTAATATTTAAACCAAAAGCATTTACCGTCTCATTGAAGGGAGCCAAAGTATACTGTTAACTTAAACCTTTCTTTTTTTTTTAAATGAGGGGTGGAACCCTCTCTAGGTCCTGACAGCACGACGCCATAGGCAACAAGCCACAAAGAGACTTTCCTAAAATCACAGCACACCTACCCTGTTTGCACTGAACAGAATAATAGAGCTGCTGGAATGAGTTGGTAATGGAGCTACTTCTTTGCAATTTGCAAGTAGGTTAAAGCTTGGGTGATGTAGTCTTATATACCTTTGTATGGTGTTATATTCCGAGCCTATTAGTGGAGTTTATTAAAATAAGGAGGTGACCGGTTAGGAAAAAAACATTTTATTTTTTGTTACCTTGTGACATGAGAAGACCGAACAGAGAAGTGGGTGACAAAAATATTTAGGGTGCAGGCGTAACTGTCCCCTTCTCCTGAGGCTACTCTGGGTGAGGCTGTCTTCAATATACCGGCAAAACCTGACAAAGTTTAGAAGATCTAAATAAAAACTGACACTGTCTATAAAATACAATGAGGAACAGAAACTTGGAAGACTCGAATTATTGTTGGTACCTGTTTCCACTGCCTGACTAGTGATTTAACTGAATATATATCTATCAGTCTACCTACATTGATAAGAAACAGTGATGATGCACTTTATATTATTATATTCTGAAAATATATATTTTTATAACTCATAGTACAGCACGAGGAAACTCAAGGCTGACTCATCTATCTCACAAATGACTCAGCTATTATGATATCCATGTAGTATGTTTGTGATATATTGACAAATTATGTGTAACTTATAAGTAATATTATTAATAAGTTATAAGAATCTGAAAAGTTAAAATGAGATAATATATCACTTTATATTCCCATGAAAACAAGATTAATTCCACGAAAATAATATTAATATGAATAAAATGTAAAGGGCGATGTAAATCATGAATCTTACGACAATGTTTAAAATTCTTTCACTCCATGTTTTCTCGTTAACTAGTCGGTGTTCAGATAACAGGAAGGGCCAACTTGTGTCATCGATGAGTGACACTGTCGGTTCAGCAATCTGTGTACTGTAGAAACAACAGGGTAACATTACTGAAAGTGTAGGAAGGATAAACAGATGGTTACAATATGTTCATCTGGTATATCTTTTTAAAACTTTCATGCGTTCTTTTTCTTTCAATATTAATGAAGAATCTATAAAAATCAATATTTGAAGAAGTAAAAATAACGTTAATGATTTAAGTAAACCAAATATGAGTATTTCATTAAAATACTTTAGTTTTATGACTCACCAGAGAAGACAACAGTATAAAACATAATGAATAATATATATTTTTCCTAGAAGTTCGCGTGTTTTGATAATGGTCTGAGAGGATCTGAACAGAAGCTCCTCATCATGCTGCATTGCGATTTCTTTAATTGTAGTTTTACAAATAAAACACGCATGAAGTACAACTCTTAAATTCTCAATTTAACAATAATGGCAGTTAGTATACTTATCTTTTGCCTCCACACAGAGATAGTCCACCCAGATAAGTTAAGGAACAGCGAACGAAGGGTCAAATTTCTGTATCTGTTGCACCTCCTCGTAGACAGGCTTGATCGTCCCACCAGATAATACCAATCGTTAGCTCTCAGAAGTGTGTTGAGGGTGTCAGGGTGTGGTCTAGGTCCTGGTTGCAAGGGTGAGGTCTAGGTCCTGGGGGTAAGGGTGTGGTCTAGGTCCTGGATGTAAGGGTGAGGTCTAGGTCCTGGGGGTAAGGGTGTGGTCTAGGTTCAGCGATGGGGATTGTTACCAAAATATACCGTTACTTGATGATCGGAAACAGTGAAAGCGAAATAGTACCTTGATACTTTATTGCAGATGATGGATTACGTTCTACTTCCTCTGATCCTAGCACCCAAAGACCCATTTCTCCTTAACAGCAGACTATTTTACTATAATAATTTTAACGTTTGTTATACATCCCTCGCAGATTGAGAAAATCGAAGCATAAACATTGCGTGACTCTAGAATGACGTCACATATCTACAGTTGGCTCCACTACTTCCTTTGAACGTGATTCTTTAGTCATTCTGTGTGTCGAGGGTTTAGATGTTAGCGCCCTCTGGTTGGACATTTATTCTGAGCAGCAATCAGATCCTGTTTACTAATATCAAAACCAGCCAGAATTGGTGTAACTGAATATCTTAAACCTAATGTTCCCTCTACTTTTAACAAAGCATCGCTTGAAATACTCCTAGTCTCGGTCTGACCTGAATTATCTCAAAATTGTGAAATCTTCTCGTCCACTAAGTTAACTGACGGAACCTCACCTCCAGGATCCATACCAAGATGTTATATGTAGTGATGATGGCCTAGCGAATGAGCCGCCCTGAAGGCGGCGATTCCGCTAGTATATACTGTATATACAATCAAGACCTCACGAGCCAGGATTCGCACCCTCGACCTCTGCATGTGACCAGGGATCGGTACCACCGCGCCACAAGGACAACAAAAGCAATCCTAGACTTTGTTATATTTCACACAAATCCTGTTCTATCGTGCTACCATCAGCGCCGTGAATCTCCACTTGGGATTGACCGTGCCAACTATGTCGGAAAGTAGCATTTTACCGAATCCAGCTAGGAAACGCTAGGTTACTTGCATATATATATATATATATATATATATATATATATATATATATATATATATATATATATATATATATATATAATTTTTAGTTCAGCATTACTTTCTTTAGTCTATGTTTTTTAATTGAAGCTGACTATAAATTACCTGTTCACATGTGTCCACTGCAGGCAACACTGCAGATTCTTCTCCTATTATTAATAATAAGAACTAAATATCTGTTTTGAGAAGAAGCAAATAAATACAATATGAGTAAACTAATATTCATTTTAAGTAAAGAGTGACATAAATTGTTCTCAGATGAAGATGACGGTGAGGTGGGTGAGGCTGTGTGTGGTGGCAGCGTCACTGTTGATGTATGCCGCTTCAGTGACGGAGGTGCCGTCCATCACCTCTTATAAGGTAACCCACTCATCTCTCTCTAAATGTAATATGCATTATAGAATTATTTTGAACACCATTAACCAAGTTCTAGTTAGATGTTAAGCCAACAAGGGATAAGTGTGCATATATTAGGTATATTGGGAACAATTTCTTCTAGAAGCCTATTTCAATCTGTGAGTCAGTTTCGACTATCGTTTAGGGAGTTGACAGATGTAGTAACTTACATGTAGAAAAAAATTCACAAGCTGGACCCTTACTGTGGGTATTAAATTCTCACCCTTGTTTTCTCTACAGGTTGTCCCGAAGTTTCCTAAGGAGCTCAATACGTGTGGCCTCGGAAAAGTGACATTGGGAGTGACCAGCACCTACCTCTGTGCCATGGAATGTCTCCACCACCCAGAGTGCCTCCTTTACTGCCTCAGTGGTCAGTGTTGCTTCAAAAACTCACTGTTTACGCTCCCTCAAATTATGATACTGTACGTAGTGCTTGTTTGGTTTTTATTAGTCCAGGAATTTTCTTATATTTAAAAAGAATAGAAAATTGCATCGGAATGAGAAAACTTCACGTCACTCAACTTGGGTAAAACAAATCGCGACATGAAACATTTTTTTCGTGCTAGAATTGTTTTGCTGACGAAGTAATAATATTTGCATCATGAAAGGATTTGGAAAACAAGAATAGAAGAAAGAAAGCTAAATGGAAAAGACATTGACCATATTGATTTTCAAAACCTTATAAATTTCCAATTTCCATCATAAAGAGGTCACCTTTATGATGTGTTTCGATACAGAGCGTGTTTTTAACCCGCCCCTCCCACAACAAATTCTTCAACCTGTTTAATGAGGAAAATTACCTTAAAAGTTCAAACTTACTATTTATTTACCCAAAAATATAACCAAGGTTGATGACGGAATTTTATACAAACTACAGTATATATAACAAAAGAAATCCGAAAACTCAAGTTATAATAAATGAACATTAAATCATAACCGTCACACTATAATATAAAATCACTAAATCCTAAACATCACCATATAAAAAATACTACATCCTAAACATCACCATATAATAACTCTGGGGTCTGGAGCAATAAGAGTACACTATCACTAGATACTTATGGTTTAGGAGACAGGAGACCAGATGTCGACTTTACGGCCTATTTTCAGTAACTGGCTCTGGAGCACACCAGATTTTTCACCTCCCGACCAGGACCAATCATAGGGCTCCACATGCTATGGTACTAAGACCGGGCAGTTATACACCTTTACATATTGAGCTCAAGGCGTTTTTACATTATTTCTTATCCATGTTTCTTTCAGGACCTTCTGAGGTCCTCTAACAGTATGTCCATACACTAAAGAGAAAGAACTAAATCCTAACGATCCCTGGGGACAGGAACAGATAGCATACAACAAAAACTGTACTCCCTCATCCCCAGTCCTTACTTTGTTTTTATACAATACTTTTTTAACATCGACTTGAACGTCTGATGGAAGCACTCCAAGGCCCCTTGACTCTCTGGGTGGTAAGCTGTGGAAAGATACTGCTTAATTCCCAACTCCTGCATCACTTGTTTCAATGCCTTAGAAGTAAAATTCGCCCCTTGATCAGATTGAACACCGCGAGGCACACTGTACTAGGTGAAAAACCTGGTTAATGCAGCAACAACAACTTGGGCAGTAATTCTTCTTTGCGGGAATACCTCAGGATATCTTGTAGCAGAGCACATACCTGTTAATAAAAGTGATTCTCTCTTTTCGTTCTTGCCAAAGGGCCAACTACATCAATCATTAGTTTACTGAAGGGCTCATCTATAATTGGAATGGGTTTCAAGGGTGCTGGCTTAATCAACTGGTTAGGTTTTTCAGCGCACATGGCAAGTCTTACAGTAATGAGAAACATCCTTCCTTAGCCCAGGCCAAAAGAAGTTAGGGATAATTTTCTTATAAGTCTTGTTAACCCCCAGATGCCTTCCAACAAAATCATGTGCTAAGGTCAAGATATCCTCTTGGTATCAAGACGGAACTACAATTTGATGGACTTCTTCCCAAGTTTTATCTCCAGAAACATCAACAGTTCTGAACTTAAGCATAAGAACTCCATCATCAACATAGTAACAAACAGGGGTTTGATGTGAATCTTTCACATTCAATGCTCTTAGTACCAACGTCGTAAATTTTGGCTCATCTTGTTGAGCTTCGACCAACATATCCCTGTCCACTGGTACATTTTCCTTCACCAAAGGATCTTCTCCGAGATCGGGATTAGTGACATCAGGCGGCACAACCTCTTCATGCTACTCCTCATAGCTATTCTCGAACAATCCTCTTAAGTCCACACCATCTTCTAACAGGCTGCAAGTTTTGGAACTATCAGTACCCTCAACTTCAACCAAATTACCAGTCACTCTCTGCATACTCGTTTGACTCCTAGTCACAGCGCAGGAAGGAAACAAATCCGGAATTCATCTTTAATTCCTCAGTGTCTCTAACAAACACAGGCTTCTCCGTCACAATAGGTTCTGGTACAATCTTGTCATTTCCCATCACGAACAACACTCCTTTCACACGTAGAGTATCCTTCACCCCTACAGTGACAAACTCGCTCACAACGTCAGTCTTCATGGATAACCTACACAGAGAAATCGGCTGCTCATGGTTAAACTCCCTGCAAGAGAATACTCTCCCCTGTCAAAACTTTCAGAAAAGGAACACTACTCCTCAGTACCAAACTACAGGCAGATGCAGTATCCCTCAGCATAAGCACAGGAGTACTCTCACAGTCATCTCCAATACCAACTGATCCTTGAAACACAAAATGTTCAAACAAATCTGTTAACTTTTTCTCACTGCTATTTCTGGGGTTACCTACCACAGGACTACAAGTCATCACATTTTGCTTCACTTTATCCTTCTTTAATGATAACCTGGGACAATGATGTCTAATATGACCAACCTGTCGATAATAGTAACACACTGGTCCTTCCTCACCAGAGACTCCAGAAGACCTAGACATGGACGCTGCACCAAATCCAGTCATTTCCACAGGGCCACATGGAGCAGGGCCTGACACACCGACCCTACCAGACTTACCACCCTTACACTGAGTCACCCCTCTACTCGGTACAGTATGAGCCTGGGACCTGCGAAAAAACCTCGATGAGTTAAAGAGTAATTTTCAGATAAGGCAGCAGCCTGAGTCAAACACTCTACAACTCTCTCCTCCAAGTATACCCTAATATGCAATGTTACTGCCCTCTTAAACTGCTCCAGTAATATTAATTCTACTAATGTCTCATAAGACACAGCTCGGGCAGCCTTAAATCATCTCAGATCAAACTTCCTAACCTTATGTGCTAGTTCAATATAGCTTTCATTATCTTGTTTCCTCATATTTCTATACTGCGGTCTACAGTATAAGTTCAGAAGTCAGTTGGTAAGTTTTAAGTATAGTTTCCTTAATTATCTTATAGTCTTAATTTGTGCCACCTCTAGTGCTATAAAGGCTAACATACCTTTTCCACTCAACACGGACTGTAGTAATACAGGCCAATACTCGTTAGGTCACTCTAACGACTTAGCAGTCTTTTCAAATTGTAAGAAATATTCTTCAGGATCACCTTCATCAAACCTAGGAACTAACCTTGACTGTTTAGACACATCAAACAATGGGGTCATAATTTCATTATTCGAATGTCATCTTGCTCTATGCTGGGCTTTCTTTTCTTCTAATTCAAGCTGAAATTTTTGTTAGAATAATTTTGCTTCCTTTTCTCTCTATCCGCTTCCAACTTTTCCCTCTCTAACTCCAGTTCCATTATCCTAACAGCATGATTCTTAGAATCATCCTCTAACTCACACAATGATAAAGCGAACTCATCAAGTACCTCTGTGTTTACAAGATGACGTAAAACAGCATTTTTCACTTCAGACTTTCTCCATTGATGTTTAATTTGGGTCCTATACTCACGAGCCAATTTAATCCAATCCTCTTTCCTCAGATGCACCTGCCTCAGGTACTCCACACTAGGATTACCAGAAAATGTTTCTAGCTCAAATTCCATCATTACACAGAGAATGAAACCAATCAGTTAAACTTCAGCAAAACTCACTATTCACAATTCTAAACCGATTTTGAATAAAAATCGCGAAAATTTGTCAACAGCTCCCAGACAGGCCCCCACATGTTACGATACAAAGCGAGTTTTTAACCAGCCCCTCCCATAACAAATTCTTCAACTAGTTTAATAGGGAAACTACCATAAAAGTTCAAACTAACTATTTATTTACAAAGGTATAACTAAAGCCGATGACGGAATTTTATACAAAATATATACAACAAAAGAAATCAGAAACCTCAAGTAATAATAACTGAACATTAAATCCTAACCATCACACTATAATATATGATCACTAAATCCTAAACATTACCATACAAAAATTAATACTACATCCTAATCATCACCATATAAAATATGATAACTCTGGGGTCTGGAGTAATAGGAGTACACTAACACTCGATACTTATGGTTTAGGAGACAGGAGACCAGATGTTGACTTCACCGCCTATACTCAGTCACTGATTCTGGAGCATACTTGATTTTCCACCTCCAGAACAGGACCAATCACAGGGCTCCACATACTATAGTACCAGGGGCCAATTGCAAGATCAGCTGTGGTGTACACCACGCTGTGGTATCATGGCTGTCGTAAGACAATGGAATAAAAATTGTGTGATTTTTCAAGAAGCGCCATGGTGGTAAAAAAACACATTAAAGAGTACGCTTACTGACTGTGGAAAACCCCTACGGTGGCGTAGCATCTTACCAAAGCGGTGGGGGGTAAACCATAAGTATTATCATTCTTGTTGTTATCTTCCACATTAAATTATTACTAATATTACATTATATTACAGGTATGGAATGTCGGCTCTACAAGGCCCAGGTAACGAGACACTGGCTTGGGGAGGATGGAGGTTTGCAGTTTGACAAATGTTACGCTACCTGGCAACATCCCATGGACCTTACCCCCTACATCACCAAGGTCACATCGTCCAGTTTTTACAGTTCAAAATCAGCCATCCGAGCTGCAAGTAATGCCATAAATGGTTACTTCTGCCAGCATAGAGATGATTGTTTCCTGTCAGGTAAAGAAACCAATAGTTGGTGGAGGACAGACCTGGGGGCACCACAAGATGTCAAAGAAATCTGGATACAAGCTAGGAGAGACACAAACTTGAACGACACCTTACAAAATGTGGAGATGCGTCTAGGTGGCTCTCCCAACTATACGGACAACCCGGTGTTTGCCACGTTCACTGACCCGTATCAAGTCGGAATGTTGGCCAAAATCACCAGGAAATCTGCAATGACTGGCCAGTACCTACAGATGCAATCTATGGCACATTCGTATTTCGGCATATGTGACCTTCAAATCATTGGAAACTAAATATAAGAAATAAAAAACTTTGCCCCAATAAGGGATATTATTGACTTGTCTTGGGGCCTTAGTTAATTAAACAAGTTTCTATGGTAGGCAAATCCTCTCAGTCAGTGCCATTAAAAGATTAAGTATGTTTAATTCATAGTGAAGCTTTTTGAACGATTCAGTTTTATTAATTAAGCAAAAAACAGAATAAATCTTATAAAAATAAAGGGTAGAAAATGTAAGGGTGAGTTTTGTATAAAATTATATTAACATAATATCCACCCAGTTGGATTGTAACCACTCTTAGCGACCTAGACCCGGCTGAACCAGCGACGAAGGATCTCTGTGCAAGGCCAGTAGAACGACTGACTGAGTAGGTAAATTTGGGGAAATTAGGCAGCCTCGTTTATACCCAACCCCAATCGCTCTTATATCTGTCCAGCCTATATTTGAAGCTACCCAGCATTTTCGAGTTGATGATATTTGGTAATTTGTTCCACTCATCCACCACTCTATTTCCAAACCAGTGTTTATCTATTTTGGGCTTAAATCTAAATTTGTCTTTTTAAAGCCATTGCTGCCAGTTTGCTCCTGGTTGGATAGTTTAAGTACTTTGGTTATATCACTTTTGTTTAACTCTGACTTCCATTTATACATCTCGATCATATCTGCCCTCATTCTACGTCTCTCAAGGGAGTGCAAATTTAGATGCTAAAATATAATCTGTCATTGCACTCACGGTTCCTAATGCCTGGGATTAGTCTTGTCAATCCTCTTCTTATTATTATTTAATTTATTTATTACACCCTAGGGGGTCGACAGCCCCTGTCACAAGACTTGTGATATGGAGACATTGATGTGAGTTGAGGAGAATGAGATTTAGCACCCACCAAAGCGCTGGACAGTCAAGGCAATGGTGTTGAAGGGTGTTAGCGTTGGGACAGTTCCAGAGTTTACAAGAAGAGAAGTGCGAAACATCTCCCGCCTCAGATACTTGCTAGATAGGTCTGTATCCTAACCTAATGCTAGCCGAAACCTTGAAACTTGTAGGTATGTGGCACCACTGTACGCTGGTACTCAGAACGCCCAGTGCTGACTAAGGAAGTTCTTTGTGTCACTGCTTGTTGCCAGACAGGGGTGTTGCCAACTTTCCATGAGATAGAAAGTCTTCAATAACTCAGAATCGGTTATTGGGAATAATTCTGCACCGTCTTTGGGCAACAGAATGAGTCACTCAACTACGGGATATATCACTACACTTGGAACTCTTATGTAACAAGTCAGTTTCTTTGTTTTTCTTGTTTCGGAAAACACTGATGACGTGTTATGTAGAATGTGTATTCACACCAGAATTTCGTTTTCGTAACCACTGTCGCTGCCACCATGTCATAGCCTGTTAACTGTAGGGTTCTGTCGAAGTTAACTAGGCTGGAATGTTTATATTTTATTGGGTATTAGTAGCAAAACCCAAGTTGTCTGTTATCCATTTATTCAGGAACAACTAAGACAATTCCAAACTGTAAATCAACCGTAACTTATCACTGTAACTATGAGTGTTAAGAGAAGGACGGAGGCTATGTAAATAGACCTGCTTAAAGACGTCCTTTCTATGTGAGGTGTGGAGGGAGAGTGAGGCCTCAGGGCGTCAGTGCTCCGATCGCCCGGCCATTTCAAATGCTGACCTAAGCTGTCTCTGGCCACACCTTATAAGGAAGGGTGCCGACCAGATGCCATCAAGATGATTCCTCATAGCTAGTGGAAAGTTACAGGGGGTGATTATGTATATAAATCAATATGTAATTAAGCCATTTATATAATCTTTCTGTTGATGAAACAGGGGCTATTACATGGCAGTGAGACATAGGTCACATGCAGGAAACACCTCAAGACACTTGAAAACTTTTACCAACGTAGTCTACGTTCCATCATCCGAGTTCGCTGGTAAGACAAGAGAACAAATGCCAGTATTGTTGCTGACACCTACTGTAGGAGAATCGACGTTACCATTATCCATGAACAACTATGTTGGACTGTCCATGTTGCCCACAAGAACGACAGTAGATCGCCAAAACAGCCAATTTACAGTCACCTAACGAATGGTAACATAACGCTGGAGGGCAACTGAAAAGGTATAAAGATACTGTAGTCATAGGACAGACCTTGTTATAGACACTGGCTTCAGCTACTCATTTGTTGCCTTCAGCACCTCTGCTTAGCACTGAGTGTCTCCCAGCACCTCAACCGATGTGCCGTCTACGGGTGTCACCTTACCCAAACAAACATAAATCTCTCTGCCTACGACCACACTCCGCCACCTCCCTTGTAGACTGTAAAGGTGTTGTGACTCCTATGTGTCCGTGCGACCTGTGTCCTCGCCAGATGTTTGTAAACGTCGCAGCCATAGAACAAGCGTTAAGTAGTATTACCGCCCGCGGGGAACGGCGTGGACAGTGTTAATAAATTGTTAGAAATAATTTAGTTTACAGAGTATTGAAGATGTAGGAGAGGGGAGTGGAACTAGCTGAAGGGGTGTTTACAGCTGAGCGGTCGTGGTTTCTGCTGAGTAGACAGTTCTGCAGGTGGCGGTGACTGTCAGGCCTTCCCTAACTCTCAGACCAAGCCTTACAGCAATACTGTGAACATTTATACCATCTGCTGGCAGTAGTGAATATACAAACTCACAATCCTGTCTCTGAGTTTGTGCTAAGATAATTTACGCAGTACTGTTGTCTCTTGGAACATCATACTGATTTACATTGACCCGCACTTGTAAGTACAGCCTACGTGATGTCGTACCCCTCAGTACTGAAACATTGTGGACTAATTATGCCTACACGTTTTCTGCCTTATCTGGAGCAGTAAGACATTGTGGAATGAAGCACAACTAAGATTAATAAAGTTATGTACTTTGTATTTTGTCACTTTGTTTAATGATCTTATGTATTTAAGATAAAATTGCGTGAGACGAACAAATTATGTATCAGGTGGATCACCATGTAATACTAATGAACGCCTTGCTCTCTGCAGGTTTTTGACCACATCAATAAATTTGAGTGGGTGAAAAGGCGGGTTTCAATGATTCTCTTCGACTTGCCTGTCACCCGACCGTCCTTAACTAAGGCGGTTACTGTCAAAAACAAATGCGGGGGCATTCAATGACACAAAGAGTGAAAGGTATGTTAAAGAAACAAGAAATTTTCGACTTTTATATTTTCTTCACCACCAATAACACAACATTCATATCAGAAAAACAGCAAAAACTTAAATAGCAGAGTGTAACGTCTATCTGAGATTAATGGTAGCTGGTCATTTGCGGCAGGCGCCTTCTTGGTAGCGGAGTCAGGAGTAACGATTCTAGTATGTTCTTGTTACACATACTGGAAAAGAAAGGAAAACTGGCCTTGGTGGGGAAGGGAGGGGCCTTAGTTGGGGGAGGATGTGGGGAGACCACGGTACTTAGGGGCGGAGGGGAAGGTGGAGGAGGAGGGTTGGCTTGGGTATGTGGAAGAAAAGGAGGAGGAGAGGTGGCTTCGGTACTGTAGATGGAGTACAAGGAGGAAGAGGGGTGGCCTGAGTAGGTGGAGATGGAGGAGGGGGGGCCTGGGTAAGTGAAGGAGAAGGAGAGGGGGGGGGGTGGCCCGGGGAAGTGGATGAGGAAGAAGAGGTTACTTCGTGGCCTCCCCACCTTCCCCCGGATAAAAAAGTGCTCACCCTTCTAATCCTAAAATACTCACCGATAACTTTCTACAATATGGAAATAGTCTTTTAGAACAAAACTTTAAGAGAAAGGTACCCATGCAGTAGAACTAAATATGAATTCTACACCAATTCCAAGAGGTAACATCAGTCATCTGCAGATTTACAAACTGGTACAGAGAACGTGGTAAATAATTGAATAGCCTGATCAAGAATTTCTCTAATGACTCCTAATTGTAAAAATAAATGATAACATCCACAGATAATTCCCTAAAAGCTGCCAAAGAGCGAGAGACCCATTGCCACAACGAATTCCTATTGCGAGACAATAGACATTTCCGTGTACCTTATAGTCCTTCAGCAAGGCCTATAGGATACAATAGCCACAGTAACCTGACACAGAGAGGCTGTATGGTGTCGTCACCACCAGCTGTGATGAAAAAAAGCAATGGCAAAGTTAACTGAGTACAAAAAAGGAGCTAAACTACGTTCATTGGTAACAAATACCTTTTCAAACATGTTCTATCATTTGCTCTTTAGCTTAAATTTAGTAACTTAGCTGAACAAAACAACAGAAGCTAACTGCAGCACAAAGTGATTGCTCTCCTGGGTGTGAAAAATAAAGCTAAGGTGGCGGTGAAGGTACGGGGGTGGCATCCCTGGGCTGGGGAACCTACTGGGGCACACATGAGGCCGGGTAGGTGATGGCAAATTTATGAGGGTGACACTCCGGTGCGGTGAAATTCGTTTGTTCTAACTCCTGCTGGGTCCGACCCATGAAACAGTCATAAGTAACCTGGAAAAGTCAACAGCTGGATTTAGACAATGATATTTGCTTTATTATTGAAATATTCATGATGCGCTTATTGAAGTCATCAATTACAAAGGAATGTATTTCAGGGAATGGTTAGGGTAGACAGGAATATGGGTATATATACAACCATAAGACGTTAAAACTATATAAGTGTTAGTCATGCTTACATGAGTGTTCAATAAGGAGGTCGCCTTGCACCCGGGCTTGCAGGAAGGTGTTGGGATTATGGCTTTGCACCTGTAATCACCTTGTGCAAGGTCCTGGTACCGCCAGTCAGTGCAGTCGAATATAACTGTCGTGGAGGAATGCGGTGATGGTTATGTGATTATATGTCAATAAACATTGAATATACAGTAAGATCATTCGTTATAGAAGTTTTAATAATAAAAGAAAATGAGAAGAAAATTTGAAAACTACTGCAACGAATAATAATAATAATAATAATAATAATAATAATAATAAAAATAATAATAATAATAATAATAATAATAATAATAATAATAATAATAATAATAATAATAATAATAATAATAATAATAATAATAAAAATTATTCATAGTGTATGAAATTTTAAATAAAAACAAAATTGGAAATAAAATACTACTACTACTACTACTACTTTTTATCTTTTTTTAAACGTGGCCTCCAGCCTCCCCCAATAGCCATACTACTACTACTACTACTACTACTACTACTACTACTAATAATAATAATAATAATAATAATAATAATAATAATAATAATAATAATAATAATAATAATAATAATAATAATAATAAATAATAATTCATTGATATATCGAATCAGTGCATATGCTGCTAAGCCACGACAGTTCACAGCTCGATCCTTTGAGATGTGAGAGGATCACCATAAATCTGGAATTTATAAAATACGAATACAACATCACACACAACAAGCACCATAATATCGACCAACCATTGGGGTGGGAAATTCCGGTGGGGATGAACTTGTCACGTGAGCAGGTTTCCTGGAAGGGAATCACCAACTTCTTTTTGGATCGTATTTTGAAAGTGTTGCATGAAGGTGCTGAGGACATCCACGCTTGAGAGTGGAGCACTGAGTCAGTGTAGACGCAGCCTGTAGGTCCTATCAGGTCATGGGTCTTATCTCCATTCATCGTGCCACACACACCGTAAGTCCTGCCTCGGAGAGTCTGAGGTTGCTGTTGATCATATTTTCATTAGTTATTGGCAACATGAAAATGTTAGAAACTTTCTGTTTTACTTTTCTGCAAATTAAAACTTAATTAATCAGTGCCTGCCAAGTGATCCTGCAGAATATTCATCATTTACTCAATCTCTTTTTTATTGTTAATTCCCTGCCTGAGTTTACTGGAGGATTCAGCTATATGAATAATTCATATAGGCCAAATTAATAGCTACAGAATAAAAGTATTTTATATTTACATCTTCGGAGTCATGACATAAAGTTATAGTGGAAAGTAAAATTCTCGATACCATCTATGATGCAAATGATTTACTTCACGGCAAAGAAGAGCATCACTGCTAATTCTCCGGGTTATTATGCACAAGCACATTTCCCTTTAAACAATAACACAACTCTGAACGATGAAAGTGATACTTACCAGAATTTCAACCTTGTCGGATATTTTGATGAAGTAACCGCCCTTGATCTTAAGTAAGGCAGCGTTCTCCTCTTGGACAAATTTGAATAGGGTGCTAAGCCCCTCAGGAGGCTCTCCATTCACCTGTTGGCAATTTTTTTTTGGTTAATTGGTATAATTAATACCGTTGAAAACACATAAAATCTTGACAAAAAAATTAACTTGATTTTACAGGAGTTAGGTCACTCTGAAGTGCTGAATTATCGTTGTAGATTGGGTTACATACAACAATACATCTAATGTCCATTTTTTTTATTACGATAAAGGATTGGGGGCGGTTGGAACACTAGGCAATTTCTTGGAATATTTTGTACAGAAGAATTATTTTTTCTGTTTTGAAATTCATTATACCTCTAACAATCCCATTTAATTCCCTTTTCCTCGCCTACTTCTTTCGGCTTTAAGATTCCAAAATATGATATATATATATATATACTTTTATTTTCAGTTCAACACTTACTATACTATCAACTTCGAATATACAGAGGAAAACAAGAAAAATTAACTTCTTAAAGTGAGTCAATCACTTACCAGAATTGATGACTTGGTCATTTCAATGAGCAGTCCCGCCCAGGGCCAGAAGAGGCGCCCATGCCATTCATCATCATCGAACCTGACCATGAAGATGCTCTCTCTTACGTCGTAAGACTCGTGGTCATAAAAATAGACAAAGGTGAGTGTGGTCCAACAGGTGTCTATATCATGGGCACCCACATTACCGTTGAACGTTCTCACCTGCAATGTGATTGGAATTAACTAATACATAGTTTATTAGTTTATAATAATTGAGAGAAAAAAGAGAGTAAAAGAATGACAAAACAGCATAATAAATTAAAGGAAAATATTTGTTTTAGTAAAGTCTTTATAAGACATTAATATCAGTTTGATTATTGGAAGGAACTTTAAGTTAGTTCAACAGTGGAGAGGAGGATTCGTGTCCTTCCTCACCTAATAAAGAAAAATACAAATTTATTTCTAAGCTAAATGAAATATCAATAACCAATTAATGTATATATATATATATATATATATATATATATATATATATATATATATATATATATATATATATATATATCATCACACAGGGAAAAGGGAAACAATGGAGAACCTTAGCTTTCGTCTGTATTCAAGATATTTTCAGAGGCAACTGAATTACAAAGACTGAGAGAGGCTTACGTATACAGGGTGACCTTACAAAACATGAGGTCAGGTCAAAAACATGACATCCACTAATCCACACACCAACCAATTTGTAGTCAAGGTTCATATACAACATAGGCCTACTACAAAAATGGGGTTTATTGAGTGTTGTCAGTTCGGTCTATGACCCTCTCGGGTTCATTGCTCCGTTCACCATCAAGGCAAAACTAGTGTTCCAAGATGAATGCCGAAGAAAGAAAGGATGGGACGAACCAGTGCTGGGACACAACAACACAACATGGAAGGCGTGGCAAGACGACTTGCCGCAAATTGCAAACCTCCTCATTCCCAGGTATTACAAACCCAAGGAATTTGGTAAAATCATCTCAGTCCAACTGCACACATTGTGCGATGCATTACAAGCAGCTTATAGTATGGGATCTCACATGAGGGTGACGGACGAAGAAAATAGGATTCACTATACCTTTGTTAATGGTAAAGCAAAGTTGGTCCCTCTTGAGCAACAGACAATTCCTAGACTGGAGCTTTGTGCGACTGTCTTGGCCATCAATGCCAATCTAATGATAAGGGAGGAGCTAGACTTGGAGGTCGAAGAGTCATTCTTCTGGACCGACAACATGTTAGTTCTCCAGTTTATTGCAAACACTAGTCGGCAATTCTATACCTTTGGGACAAATCGAGTAGCTACTATACAGGAGCTGTCAGAGTCAAGACAATCGAGTCATGTGGGAACGTCACTAAACCCGGCGGACGATGCCTCACGGGGACTCTCATTGGAGGATATGACTGACGATTGTCGGTGGATACGAGGACCAACTTTCTTGTGTGAAGGCGAAGAGCACTGGCCCGAGAAGCCGAGATTGACATTGGACCTAATTGAAGATATAGAGGTGAAACAAAAGGAAGCTGTTTTAATAACTAGTAGTATAGCCACCGAAACCAACCGGATAAACTCATTACACACATTGTGGGTTAGGTATTCATCCTGGACCCGCCTGCTGAAGGGAGTAGCCTGGCTCAGAAGATTCATAAATGGATTAGAGAAAGGGGATGCTAGAAAGAAATGCAAAGTGAACTAAACGAAGCGGAGATGAACAAGGCGAAAGTCGTTATTTTATGCTCTGTGTAAATGGAGTGTTATCAAGAGAAGATAAAGGCTCTTACCGGGAGTGGACTGAGTAAACAAGGTGGGATTTACAAATTGGAGCCATGTTTGAGAGAGGATGGACTAATCAGAGTTAGAGGGGGAATGAAGAATGCACCTATTAGCTTTGAGAGTCGGTATCCCATCTTGCTTCCTTAAAGCATCACATCACTGAAATTGTACGAGATGTACATGAGAACCAGGCTGGACATTCGAGAAGGAAACACACACATGCGTGTTTGAGACAGACTTCTTGGATTCCCAGGGGTCACAGGCTACTAACAAAATCACCGGCTCTGTGTGGTGTCCCGCAGAAATAACTGGAAGCCCACACAGCAACGCCAAGCTGAATTACCGGCAGATCGTGTTACTCCAGCTAAACCTCCATTTGCTTATACAAGGAACGATTGCTTTGGACCTTTTCAAAGTTAAGCAAGGATGCAAGCGTCTCAAGAAATGGGGTTGTCTATTCACTGGTTTGACCACCCGGGTCGTACATCTTGAGGTCCTTGCATCGCTCGACGCTGACGCCTTCCTTAATACCATTGTAAGATTCTCAACCCGCCGAGGTACTCCGGAACGCTTACGATCGGATAATGGGACGAATATGATCGATGCGGAGAAGGAACTTAGATCACCAGCACGAAGTTGGGCGCATGATGAGAATCTTCCAAATGCTTTCTTGGGGAAGCAGATAGACTGTGTCACACATAGGCGGCGTGTGGGAACGCCAGATACGGACGGTAAGGAAGGTTCTCCGAGCGATCGTGGGATCACAAGCGTTGGACGACGAGCGCCTTCAGACGCTTTTTTGTGAAGTTGAAGTAGTGGTGAACGAGAGGCCCATTACTCCTGTGTCAGAAGATGTAAATGATCTGGAGATACTTACACCCACTCACCTCCTGCTCCTGGGGTCAAAACATGGCCTTCCATTAGGTGGTCTGCAGATTGGGGCATCATATAGAAAATGATGGAAACGTCCAGTTCTTAGCAGACCAGTTCTGGAAACGCTGGTTGAAGGAATACTTGCCTCAACTACGAAGCCGACAAAACAGCTCAAACTGCAGCGCAACTTTCAGGTCATCGTAGCCGGAGAATATACTCATAGGAACCAATGGCCTTTGGGAGGGGTTGTTGAAGCGAGGCCTGATGATGATGGGCTTATACGTCGTGCTAAGGTGAAGACTGCAAGCAATGTGATAGTGCGTCCTATTGTAAAACTCTGTTATCTGGAAGGAGCCTCACTTACAGCAAATACACCTGATGCTGGTGTATAGACATGGAATTGCTGATTTTATTTGTTTTGCTTGACAAGAAGGTGTGCCTGCGCGACCAGTTCCTTTGGCTTCAGCACAGACACATTCTGCCCATTTTGTAGTACACCAGGAACTCTTGTATTGTTTTCTTGCGTGCGTACGCTCAACAAGGGGAGTGTTACCGCCCACGGGAACCTTTAGTTATGAGGTAGTGAAGATATAAGAAATGGGAGTGAAGATATGAGAGAGGGGCCATCCACGCAAGGGATACACTGAGACTACCCAGTCAGACTACCTCTTACAGACATTCTGTGAACAGCTAAGAACTTCTGCTGGCATTGGACTCGTAACACGAAAGTGTAATTGTAATGTATTAAATAATTTACATATATGAGAATTACTTATCTTATAATTATACATTTTTTAATATAAGTCAACACAACATTATAGAATAGACAGATGTGGTTCTGTTACGGCGTCCTGTTATGTTTACTGTGTCTACGAAAATTATGTTAGACTTTATATCATGTGTTAAGGAATTGATTCATTGATATGTACTTTGTATTGACAGTTTATGAGTGAATTATATTAGTCGAGTCCATCGTAACGAGTCTCACTATCCTGCAAGCCCATAGTCGTCTTAATTGACGATTACAGTCCTGTTTTTTCTTTTCTTAACTTTGGTTAAGTTAGGTTAGGATGGCTCGTGTAGATTGATACACAGTTAAGTGGTCCTGTTCTTTTTTTAAAATTGGTTAGCCTGTTTGTTAGTTATTTCGCAAAAAAAAAAAAATATATATATATATATATATATATATATATATATATATATATATATATATATATATATATATATATATATATATATATATATATATATATATATATATATATATGTGTGTGTGTGTGTGTATGTATGTGTGTGTGTGTGTGTGTGTGTGTGTGTGTGTGTAAGCTATAGCCGTATAGTCTCCCTCACCGTGGTTGTATCAACGACACAGTGGTGAGTCTCTCTTCCACTAACGAAGTAGTAGTTGAAGGCGTTGGTTACTGTAGCGGGGACAATGAACATCTCCGAGAAGGCCGGAGGCTTGCCATGGATAGTGGTCACCTCACGTGGTCTCGTTATCCTTAAATCCCATTCACTAGTTTCCAGGTCCCTGGTAGAATAATAAAGGATCTCTATGACTGTTGGTACAGATCATTAAGATATACAAAACACATTTAAGTAAAATAATGTTAAATTAATATTATTTTGACAAACATTGATGCAATTAATTATAAAAAAAGGTGTTTTTAAAGAGTCTACCGTAATTTATATAGTATCCTCTGATCAGTCATTAGCTGTGCGAGTATACTCGTATAAATTTATCAAGAGTTTCCCTTCATGGTGGCGACAATTATATTCAAGCATTTTTGTCATGTAATTTTCCATTACTGCTTCACCATCGACTCATAAAGTAAGTGAAACTGGAAAATTAATTGGGCTATTGCCTGACAGGGACACAAGTGGGTACTTTGTATATATTTCAGTGTTAGGTTAAATATTTGTTTTACATTTTATGTTCAGTGACAATTGCTTGGCAGAGTAGATTGCCACATGAAATACTTACGATGGCATATTGTTCATTTGTCTTTACTTTGGCCAAACTCCTCATAGTTTTCATAACTCTTAAATTTTAAACTCAATACATCGGGAACAATATTTTATGTTTAATAATTATAAGGAATTGAATGAACATAAGAACATAAGGAGTCTGCAATAGGCCGGTTGGCCTGTGCATGGCAGCTCTTGTCGAGAGTTACTACCACTCTCTATCATCCATGAATCTATCTAGCCTCCTTTTAAAACTTTCCAGCGTTCGAGCACGTACTACAAAGTTACTAAGCTTGTTCCACTCGTCTACCACCCTATATGTGAACCAGTTCCTTCCTATCTCCCTCCTAAACCTAAACTTATCCAACTTAAATCCGTTACGGGAGTACACCACTCCAGTTCTGCTTTATATTTTTCCACTTGGTCTGCTATTTGTAAATACTCGAGTTATCTATAGCTGGTGACTATGAACCTTTGAGACAGTTAAAGAAAACAAGTTGACAACAAAATATACCGGGGAGGTGTAGATTAATCAGTCAAATGGATTCTCTCAACATTTTTGAGACTAATGTTAATATAATCATCCTTTTTATAGTGGAAGATATATAGTCACCTTCGAGATATCTCTTACTTTTTGATAATGGTGTCTACATAGTTGTCAGGTTCCTAACATGTGGATAGATTTCATATCAATTTTGTCGTAAGATACATTTGAGATCATCAATACTATTGCCTTCTTACTGAGTGCCATCCAGCTCTATCTGGTGGTTGGGGTTCCAGGTGGTGTGGTCGGAAGAGATATGAGGGAAGTAGACGAAGTGGAGGAGATCGGCCACGTAATAACTCAAATTGGTCAGTACTTGCGGGAAGTCCTGTGATAAGAAAGGAAAAACTGTCATGAAGATCACAGAGTATATAACAGACACTTGTCTTTTAAAGAATACTTAAATACAAACACTTACAGAATACTTAAAAACTTTCTGTATATATATATATATATATATATATGTATATATATATATATATATATATATATATATATATATATATATATATATATATATATATATATATATATATATATATATGCTGATAACCACAAGGAAAGAAGAAAACACGAAGTTCCCAAGCGCTTTCGTGTAATTCATATCTTCAGGGGTGAGTACAGACTAAGGAGAAGGACAAAACAAGGTGTATTTTTACAGAGGAGGGTGAGATCAGGTCCACAATGGTCAGGTATTAGGTAATGACCCTACTAATCTTTAAATAGCACCGCAACGGTCGATAGTCAGGTCAGAGGGTAAGGTGACCCAACATTCTCACCTGGTTACAAATCTTCTTAATTACAAAATTGTCCAGTTTGTACATGCCATTACTCAAATTCATGTTGAATGCTTCGGTATGTTTAATGAGACTAGATTCTATGATGTTCCTACTATCAATTGAATTACATGGTAATATTGAGGAGGCATTATCCCAGTCAATGCAATGCTTGTTATCCCTCAAATGAACAAACAGAGCATTGTATTCCTGGCGTTTCCTAACACTATATTTATGTTGTTTAAGTCTAGTTACAAGATCTTGACCTGTCTGGCCTAAGTAAAACATATTACATTCCTTGCAAGGAACTTTATAAATGCAACCAATTGTGTTGTTGGGGGAGTTCTTGATTAACATTTTTTTAACAGTGCATGAGTTTTTAAATGCCACATTGACGTTCCAGGTTTTTAGTTGTAAAGGAATTTGAGAGAAATTTTTGTGAAATGGTAATATTAAGATATTCTTATGGTCATGGGTTGGGTCACCTTACCCTCTGACCTGACTACCGACCGTTGCGGTGCTATTTAAAGATTAGTAGGGTCATTACCTAATACCTGACCATTGTGGACCTGATCTCACCCTCCTCTGTATATATACACCTTGTTTTGTACTTCTCCTTAGTCTGTACTCACCCCTGAAGATGTGAATTACATGAAAGCGCTCATTTAAGTCCATGCAAAACTATATGATAATATACACACTGTATTGTTACAATATGTGTGTTGTTGTGAATATATACATGCAAATACATACCTGCGTCCACTTGACGGTACCGTGAAGTTGATCATAGATAGGAGAGTTGATGATATCAGTGGGCAGGAGATGTTCAGCTTCCCTGTCACAGTCCTCCCGTGACAGTTTTTCTTGTATGAGCCTCAGGGCCCCCTCGCTCACGTCCAACGACCCCTAAGTGATGGTGCAGGTACAGTGATTACAAATAAGATAAAAATAAAATTCCAAGTAGGATAACAAATGTAATGCCAATTTTCAAGAAGGGAGATAGATTACTATCCTCTAACTACCGTCCAATCAGTTAAACATCAATTATAGGAAATTACTGGAAGCAATAATTTCAAACTCTATTCGAAATCACCTGGAGAAGCACAAGTTGATCAATGATTTCCAACATGGCTTCACAAGCGGGCGTTCATGTCTAGCTAATCTATTAACATTCTTTTCAGTTGTTTTCGAATCCTCTAACTACCGTCCAACCAGTTAAACATCAATTATAGGAAATTACTGGAAGCAATAATTTCAAACTCTATTCGAAATCACCTGGAGAAGCACAAGTTGATCAATGATTTCCAACATGGCTTCACAAGCGGGCGTTCATGTCTAGCTAATCTATTAACATTCTTTTCAGTTGTTTTCGAATCAGTGGACGACGGGCACAACTATGATGTGGTATATCTCGACTTTAGCAAAGCGTTCGACAGAGTCCCCCACGAAAGATTAAGAAGAAAAGTGGAGGCTCATGGCATTAAAGGAGATATTCTAAAACGGATTAGGGCGTGGTTACGGGACAGGAAATAGTGAGTGAGCATTAACGGCACTAAATCCGATTGGAGTAACGTCACTAGTGGAGTACCCTAAGGTTCAGTACTTAGACCATTATTATTTATTATATACGTAAACGACATAGATATCGACGTAGAGAAGCAACATGAGTAAATTTCCTGATGACGCGAGGACTCCGCAAACGTACAGGAAGACCTAAAACAAAATTTTGAAAGGTCTGAAAAAAGGCAGATAACATTCAATGTGGACAAATGTAAAGTACTTAGTCGAGGAGATGTAAACAGAGAAACTAGATACCAGATGAACAACGATATTATAGAGAAATCCGAATGTGAGAAAGACTTGGGAGTAATGATAAGTTTGTATCTTAAAACAAGTAAGCAATGTGTATTTTCTCAAACAAGGCTAACAAAGTACTTAGGGTCATACAAAGGAGTGTTAGTTACAAGACTAGCGAGGTCATCCTAAAACTATATCTTGTGCTTGTGAGACCTCAGTTGGATTACTCAGTTCAATTCTGGTCACCGGACTACAGAATAGACATAGAATCCCTGGAAAGAATTCGGAGGAGAATGACAAGACTAATCCCGGGCATTAGGAACCTTGAGTACAGAGACAGGTTAATGCATCTTAATTTGCACTCCCTCGAGAGACGTAGAAATCAGGGCTAGACAAAGTGCCATTACAAAGGTACTCAAACTATCCAACCAGAAGCGAACTCGTAACAATGGTTTTATATTAGACAAATTTAGATTTAGGAGCGAAATAGGTAAACACTGGTTTGTAAATAGAGTAGTGGATGAGTGGATACAAGTTACCAAATATAATCATTAACTCGAATTCGCTGGGTGTACAGTAAATGGGACTGTCCAGTATGGGCCAATAGGCCCACTGCAGTTTCCCCTATTCTTATGTTCTTATGATACAAGCTCACCTGACATTATTTTACTGTGTGTATATATATACAGTATATGTATAATATATATATATATATATATATATATATATATATATATATATATATATATATATATATATATATATATATATATATATATATATATATAATATCTTCCTTTTGTAGTCTATACAAGTATTCTATGTAAAGTGCCATACCTGGATTTCAAGAACCGGTTCATCGTCACAGGAAACGCCATCGTACACGTCGGTCTGGATGGTGGTGTGGAAGTTGGTGGACAACACTTCTTCTGTAGTGGCCAGAGGCTGGAAGGAAGGCTTCTTCACGTGCAAGTTCAAGCACGTCTGACAGATTAAAAACAAACAAACAATTAGATTCAGACATCTAAATAAATAAAAATACAGTAGGTAAAAAATATATTATTTAATCAGGAAATAAAGAAGTAAAAATAATACATTGTGCAATATGTTATCTTGACGGGTTTAATATGTGTTATTTTAGGGGCGTTGAATTCAAATTTTGATGTATAGTTTAACAATTAGTTATCTTTATCTAAATGAACAAGTTAAAAAACTCTAAGTCTATCCGTTTATATTCTCCGATATCAAATGTAAGAGTAGAGAAAAAAATAATATTCACGAAAGAAGAAAATAATGTAAAAATAGTGCAGAGAAAGGTAGTATAAAAGCATCAGGAAGAGGTTACCCCCCCCCCCCGACACACACACACACACACACCACACAGTGTGGCGACCTCACTGAGTGAGGACGTGTCCTCTGGCGCTCCGCAGCAGCCAAGGTCATCACGTCGACCTATAGCTAATTTAAAGCAGTTCAGTACTCTTACGGAAAGACAGTGCGTATTTTCAAGGTGTCAGCGACTGTGAGTGCTAGACGTGTGAATATGCGCGTCTCAGTGTCACGATACCGTCTCACCGAGCTGTTCCGGCTAAAGTCTGGTGCTGGCTATCCTCCACCCCACACCATCACTCTACTAAAGGCGTTGAGAATCTTTCACAACCGCGGCTGCAGACGGGGTCGCCGCATTCCCAGACGAATCCCTATCATCACGCCGAGCAAGCATAAGAAAGTTAAGCCAGTGCCAGAAAGACAGTGTGCTCGCAACGAAGTGCCGCGACTATGGTACAGCCTACCATCCCTATTGCTGTCCAATGTTACATCCATATGCAACAAGGTGGAGTCAGTGTTACAGTGAAGTTAGTTGGTGCAGGTATTGTGGTGATAACAGAGGCGTGGCAAATTGTTCCTGAGATCTGTTCCATAGAAAACTATGAGTTATTTCACCACCTAATATAAGAAATTAAAGAGAGGGGATGAGCAGATCAGAAATAGGCATAATAAACTATCTAGGAATGTTAAGAAAGATGTAAGGAAAGCAAAGAGAGACTATGAAATCAAAATAACAAGAGAATCCAAGGCGAATCCCAAGGGACTTTTCCAGGTATATAGAACAAAGGTCAAGGACAAAGTTGGGCCTTTAAAGTCAGGGAGGGGAGAAGTGATAAATGGCAGTGAAGAAATAAGCAAAGCATTGAACAGCTACTTCTTATCAGTTTTCACAGGAGAAATTCGCGAGGAAATTCCAGAGGTGGAACTGATATTTAGGGGAAAGGAAGAAGAGAAATTAAAGAATATCACTATCAGAAAAGAGGATGTTCTTAAGAGGATAAATAAACTAAAGAGAGGTTGAGTGGACTGGTTATGCTCTCCATGGAAAAGGAACTGGCAGCAAGTTTGTGCTATCATGAACTGGTAGAAGAATTTGCTGGAAAGAAAGCAAAGAAGGTTAATTTTTATAAAGTAGGCTGTTTCTGATACTTTGAAAATGCTGTATGGGAAGTGATAGTAGCTCAAATTAGTTTTTCTAGTTAATAATTATACATCCAGACTGTCTTACGGCATTTGTCTTGTTTATGTTATAAATATATGTAAACAGTTTTATATTCCTTGTACTGTATATGTATGCAATAATATAACCAGGTTTTAAAATTGATGCTTTTCTATGTATTTACGAATCTCATTTTAAGTGTTTTCATAACTTATAAAACAGTTATCACATACGATCTAGGAGTAGCAGACCGTTTATTTTTGTTCCATGTTTTCTGTCGCAATACTGTAAAATTACACACACACACACACACATATATATATATATATATATATATATATATATATATATATATATATATATATATATATATATATATATATATATATATATATATATATATAAGATAGAAAGAAAGTAATTTGCAATCTTACAGAGTGAGGCTCCTCCAAGAGGCCCATAGGAGCATTCTGGAGGAAGGTGACCTGAATCTTATTGGACTTGTGGGAGGAGGAAGAGCTGGTGGCCCACGTTACCACCGCCTCGTAGCTCCTGCTGGTGGAGGAGCCCTGAAGCTCTACACCAACACTCACGCTCTGCACGTACCCGCCTGAAACTGAAGCTGAAAGTTAATTCTTTCTTAACACAAACAGATGAGAATCAAGATCATAGTTTAAAAACATATATAATTTTTAATTCACCTAATGCTATGGTAAGGTCCCCGAGGGTTGAGCTTAGTAGTGAATTGATAATTTTTAAAGACTATAAGTGGATGTGAAGATTTGCTGTAATTACAGGAGGAAGAGTATAAGATATTTATAAAAAGAGCAGAATTAATATGAGCAGAGAAGAGAAGTCTAATACAGGATGAGAATGAAAGGGGGAGAAAGTGAGACAAGCTTAAAAGAGCAGAGGAAAAAGGCGGACAAAAAAATTGCAGGAGAGAGGATTAAAACAGCAGAAGAATGAAGACAGATGTAAAATAGCAAAGGCATGAAAACAAACACAAAAGAGAAGAACAAAGACACACATATAGAACTAGGAGAGTAACTCACTAGGCATCACTTGCTCCTGTAATTTGGCAATACGTTGTCGGCTCTCACTCTGCTGTTCTTGTGCGAATATTTCGGTCTCACCAAACTCCTGTTGTGTGAATAGTGAAGAATATGAGCAGAGTTTCTCGCACCGGGACGTTTGTAAAAATAACATTAATCTCTTTTGTTTTGCATCTTAACGTGCATAGTTGTGGACAAAAATAATTTGGAATGTAAGGAAGTGGTGTAGAGAAGATGGTAGAGGTGTAAATGAAAACTTTTCACCATCGGTCGGAAGGGTGGCGGCAAAAAGTTCCTTCAAACATTCAATATTTATTGCATTTTGTGTTTATATTGGTGTAGTGAGTTATTTACAGCATTTGGTTAGTGCAAGCTGCGCCTGCCTCACAATTAAACTAAGAAAAATCAATTTATGATGTGAAAAGAAAATCGCTGGCTATTAACCACCACCAATATGCGACGGTGCCAAGTCTCCACTTTTCCCAACCCTCTCTGCCTGCCTGATGAATTCTTTTTGTACACAACTGTACATGTGAAAGCCAGCAAGGGGTAGTGTACCCCAGCACAGAATTAAAATTTTCTTCGTCAATGAGTAAAATACATTCGTTATCAGTGAGTGAGCGAGATTTTCCGTCGCGGAAGAAATCACTGGTAGACTTGCTAGTGAATAGATTATGGTATTTGAATCGAAGCAGGTTATGATAAATAAATTTGGTAGATTATGGAACCAATTAAAGCGAAGAAAAAATTACGCGCCACCGTAGAAATTCTCTTTTCTCCCTCGATGAGTGACGGAGTGAATGACTGATTGTATAAGTAAAAATGTAGACTTCACGTTGATGGGGGCCATACTAATCAGTTGTGGTTTGAATAGTGAAAAATATACATTATATGGGACTTTGTGTCCAAAAAGATTTAAATGCTAACAAAGAAATCTTGTAAGGTAGAAACTCCTCTTTAAGTGTAGAAATTGTTCTTAAATAGTAGAATTGGGTTTTACCGGGTAATAATAGGACTTAAAGGGTAGAAATGGTATTAGATGGGTAAAATTGGATCTAAAGGGACACAAATTGATTTTAGTATCATGCAAAAGGAACCAACCTGATAGTCAGATGGCGTTTGGGAGTAGTCGGAGAAGTCAGAAGCTGTCTGCGACACCTGGCCAAGACCCTGCTCGATGTTCTCCAGAGGGTCACTCTCCATGGTCACTGTCGGAGAGCAATAAAGACAACCTGATTCATAGAATCCCAAAACAAGGTCATCATGAAGTACAGAGCTGCAACATAAGTTCATCGTGAAGAGCAGAGCCACAACACAAGGTCATTGTGAAACACAGGGCTCTAACATAAGGTCATAGTGGAGCACAGAGCCCCAACACAAGGTCATCGTGGAGCACAGAGCCCCAGCACAAAATTATAGTGGAGCACGGAACCCCAACACAAGGTCATTGTGAAATATAGTGTCCCAACATAAGGTGATAGTGGAGCACAGAGCCCCAACACAAAATCGACGTGAAGAACAGAGCCCCATCCTGTTTACTATATAGCTTCCTCTCTCAATGCATATGGCGGCATCAATCATAAGTGAAATACTCGATTGGTAGCAGAGACAAAAAATGATTAATATTTGGTTAAGTTGGAAGATTAGTATCATGATGAGGTGGACAATAGCGGCACAGAAGCAATGTTATCTTCTTAGACTTCTTTCACTTCCTAAACAAACGTAAGACCTATAGTATGCGGCTCTCACTCTCCAACCTTGGGTTCCAGACAATTCTCATTCTGGCTCACCAAATTTCTTAATGACCCGATACCAAGTTGTTTAATCATTCAAGGCACCCTCTGAGATGACTCGCAGGGCCGATACGAGATCGGCTGAACCGTCCACAGATGTTGTATGTGTGGAGGGCTGCATGTACAGTAGTGCGGGAAGGGCTGGGGCAGCGTCTCTTTGGCGCTGGTGCCGCCTCGGTATGCAGTCTGGCTAACTCGAAAGTATTGACACCTCATGTGGTGCCCTTCTAAGCGTTAGGGTGTGGAGTGATCGTCTCCCAGATGAGGGTGTCGATTTGGCACTTTTTCAAATTGGTTTTAGACTATCCTTATATCTTTTCCGTTGCACGCCAGTGTTACGTTTACCAATCGTTAGGTGACTGTAAAGTAGCTGCTTTGGCAGTCTACTGTTGTCCATGCGGCTAACTTGGCCAGTCCAACATAATTATTCATAGATAATGACAGCCTCGATGCTCCTACAGTTTGTGTCAACGACAATACTGGCATTGGTTCTCTCGTCTTCCCAGCGACCTTGAAGGATGGAACATAGACTACTTTGGTGAAAGTTTTCAAGTGCCTTGAGGTTCCTGCTGTATGTGACCCATATCTCGTTGCTCCCTACAGCTAAAGACACGGGTACGTAGTCTGCCAAGGTCTTAAGATGCAACATCTGATCCTATCTCGAATCTCTTCATCGATGTACACCGTAGTGGACAGGTGGGAGCCAAGATAATGTACGTGAGTAACATTGGAGCGGATAGTATCTTTAAGCTGGATGGATGGTGGAGGTGTGGCTGAACCAGGGGCAGGCTGAAAGATAATCTGAGTCTTACGTACATTCACCTCGAGACCGAAGTGTGCATACACATCTGCGTAGGTGTTCAGGATCTCCTGTAACTCGCGTTCAGTGTGAACGTCTTATGTTGAAAAATCTCTTCATCTGGTACTGGATGTCGACTGTCACTGGCATGAGTAAGGAAGGCAACTAAGAAAACGGAAAAAAGAGTTAGTAACAATACACATCCTGGTTTTACCCCAGTTTGGATGGGTAAGAACTTAGACTGGGTGCCATTGTGCAGGACACTGCCGTTCGTGCCATCGTGGAATTACCTCACAAAGGCGATGAATTATGGTTGGTTTCCTGTTGACTGAGTCTAAGTCCTTGGTAAAGTCAATGAAGACCATGTACGAGTCAAGATGCTGTTCCCTGCACTTTTACTGTATTTAGCGGGCAGCAAATATCATGTGAGTGGTGCCACGTGATGGTTTAAATCCACATTGACGTTCTGGGAGGAAGTTTTCCACCTCAGGAAGATGCCTGTTTAGAAGGATTCGGGCGATAATCTTGCCAGTTATGTAGAGCAGCGAGATCCCGTGGTAGTTGCCACAGTCTGACCGGTCTCACTTGTTCATATAAATATTGGTGATGAAGGCGTCTTTAATTTCATGGAGATTTTCTTCTTTCTCACATATATTTTCCACTACTGAGCGGCTGGTAAGAAGAGGTCTTCCTGCTTTATCCACGTCGGCTGGAATTCCATCAGGTCCTGTGGCTTTCTTATTTTTCATCTGCTTGATGGCAGTAGCTACCACATCAGGGGATGGAGGACAACCGAGGTGGGTCAGCTCTCTGTGCTGACTGACCTGTTAGGTAGTCATGATCTCTACATGGGGCTTCCGGTTGAGCAGGGAATGGTAGTGATTTTTCAGAGCTGACGGGCGCCTTATTCGCCTTTAATTAGTGAGTTACCTTGAGTGAGCAGAGGCCGGCCGCGCATCTTGTGGTGATTTGCATATATTTTTGAGTTTCACACGCCATATTTTTCCACCATTCGTTTGTTAGATCCTGGTTATTTTCACCAAACCAATAAGAACATAAGAAAATAAGGAGTCTGCAATAGACCGGTTGGCCTGTGCATGGCAGCTCCTGTCGAGAGTTACTACCACTCTCTATCATCCATGAATCTATCTAGCCTCCTTTTAAAGCTTTCCAGCGTTCCAGCACTTACTACAAAGTTGCAAAGCTTGTTCCACTCGTATACACCCCATCTCCGAACCAGTTCCTTCCTATTTCCCTCCTAAACCTAAACTTATCCAACTTAAATCCGTTGCTGCGAGTCCTATCCTGCTCGGATATTAAAAAAACTTTATCTATATCTCCTTTATTGATTCTTTTCACCCACTTAAATACTTCTATCATATCTCCCCGCACTCTTCGTCTTTCTAGGGAACGCAAGTTTAGTTTCTTTAATCTATCTTGATATGGAAGGTTTCTAAGTCCCAGAATCATTTTCGTCATTCTCCGCTGCACCGACTCCAGTGAATTGATATCCATTGTATAATAAGGGCACCAGAACTGAGCAGCATAATCGAGGTGCGGCCTGACTAGCGCAAGATATACTGTAGTTGCAATATGACCTCCGCGCTCTTATTATTTACACTTCTAGATATAAAACCTAATACTCCGTTTGCCTTATTTCGAACATTACCGCACTGTTTTCTAGGCCGTAGGTCCGGGCCTACAGGTACCCCTAAGTCTCTTTCACAAGTCGACTTCTCTAGGTTGATGTTGTTAAGGCTGTATGCAGTGACAGTATTTGTTCTTCCAATATTAAGTACGCTGCACTTGCTGGTGTTGAATTTCATTTGCCATTTTTCTGACCACTCCTGCAGTTTATTTAAATTCTCCTGTAGTGCATTTGCATCCTGCCTGAAATAATCTGCCGCCCTATTTTGGTGTCATCCGCAAACTTGCTTATGTCACTGCTGATCCTGGTGTTTTCTTTCGATCTTGCCAAGGTTATCTCTGCAGGTTTTTGTGATGACAGCATTGAGGATAAGCCATTCAGTACTTGGATTTAGGTTTTTTGTTATTGGGCTTCTTATCAGCCCATCGTCGAGCTGCTCTCTGAAAGCATAGTCTATCTCTTGATCCTCCAGTCACTTGGTGTTAAAACCTCTTATGGAGGCTTCTTTTTTTTAGCGACGTGAAGAGAGTCTGGGCCACGCTGGCTCAGGTAATGAGAACATCTCAGCGATTTCTTTCTCTGACAATGATGTAATCAATGAGATCGTGGGTGCTGCAAAAAAAACTTGAACTTCTTGGTCTACCTAAACAAGGTATTGGTGATAGTGAGGTCGTGTTCAGCACACTTGCTGAGGAGGAGTAGGCCGTTGGGATTACACTTGGCCACTCCGTTTTTCCCTTTGGTTCCCTGCAATAAGTTAGCATCTCTGCTAACTCTTGCATTGAAGTCACCTAGGAGCACAGCCTTATTTTCTCTGGGGATAGAGTTTTGCATAGGCATGACGTGAGTAATTCAGTGGGATTCTTAGTGCCATAAGGCGCCCGTTGACCCCGACAGGCATTTCGGTTAGGCTATTTAGGGTGGATTGGCGACTGGCAAAGCCAACTCTAAAAATGCAGTTTCTCTCAACAGCAGGATTACCTTTCCAGAAGAAGGTATAGCCAGGCCCCTGTTCTGGGAGCCGGGTCTCAACATTAGCTGCTAGTTCGATGTTATACCTAGCCAGCTCTTTTGCCACAAAGGCGCTTCTTCTTTCAGGATGATCATTTATGCCAGCCTCGAGAAGGGTCCTGCAGCCACCACAAGAGGTTGTATAGTTTTTTTGCTTTGATCTGTGATCATGTTTTTTGCCTCATTATGATGAACCTTACTGGGTGCGGTCGCCCGGTCTTTTTATTATTATTATTATTTTTTTTTTAGACATTAACAACACCATGGCTGGTTAGAGTGTCCACCCAAACACCCAGAAAATTTTCTAGAATTGGACCGCCGTCAACCAATTCACAATCAAGTATAATAAGACTAAGGTTATCTACATTAATCTCTCCTCCAACCATATTCCACCAAGCTTATCGGCGTCACTGTAGATGATAAACTAAGTTGAATAGAACACGCCAGTGCTATCATTAAATCCGGTACTCACCGTCTACAAATCCTTCATCGCCTCAAGTCTAAACACAAATATAAGCAAATTAGACGACAAATGAGCTATAAAATTTATTAACTTACCATATCTAAAGATAAATGTGATGCTTTTGGTGGTGGAGGCAGCTGGATCAAACTCAAGGATGTACTTCCAATTATTGTATGAAGGGGTAAATGGATCAGACACTCCACTGCAACAGAGAAAAGCTTAAACTAATTCTAGGAAAATAAACTGCTGATCAGATTTTCCTGTAAATATTATTGGAATATTATGGAAAATGTTGTATATTTGGTAAGGTATCACATTTTAAAAGAGCATGGCATAATAATTGGTGGATGCCCTGAGAAATCATAACTTTATAGTTTGGCTAATACTGTCGAACATGAATACTCTTTGATACTAAAATCTATTATTAGTTTACTTAGTAAATGCATTCATTACTTACCTGTAGACAGAGGCAACGTTGAGCGGATATTCAAAGTTCGCTGACCAAGAAGACTTAAGAGAGAGTCCGACGACAGAAGGGAGTTCCTGAACGTTTCGCTGGCAGGTAAAAATTACAGGTTAGAAGCAGTAGCAAACATCACCAAATATTGTGGATTTTTTGTTTTTTTTATAATGTATTTTGACTTTAACAATAAAATAAAGAACTGTGATAGCAATAAATGCGGGAAAAAACTTATTTAGATCCTCACCGAAAATAATTCAGGTTGAATGGTTTCAACTATTTTGTATTCATTTCGTTCTCTGTAAACGGTGGTGGGGAATGGCCCGGTCACGACGGTGAAGGGGTAGTTGTGGGAGTCAATCAGCCGCACCTGTAATATTGGATTAAGTTCACCATTTTCATATTCAACTACACACAATGAATATAGACAGGGAGAGAGAGAGAGAGAGAGCCAGAATAAAACAAAAGGGGGGTGGAAAATTATTGGAAAGAGAGAGAGAGAGAGAGACAGAAGACAGAACGAGAGTACAGTGAGAGTGGATTCAATAAACATTACTGCCCTTTAGAGACAGTTTGCCTACAGTACACTCTATACTAAGTCTTCAGTATACAGGTAGGCAGCATCGTCGGCACTGCATTCACTTTCCCAGGTTGTAAACTTAGGTACCCATTTACAGCTGGGTGAATTGGGAGTTCCCGAGATTGAATCACCGATAACAGGAGGCGAGCGCTGGATCAACTCAAATGCCACACTCCAAGAATACAGTAATTGAACAAAAAATAAATAAATAAAAGCACTTCTTCATAGGTACACTTGTAACCCTCTAGGCTCACCTTATCGTCACTTGTTGGTTCTATTGTGATATGCACTTCCTTATGCGTCATGTCCAGATTTCCATGAATTTTGAGAGGAACCACCACAGACACTGAGTTGTGGAGACCAGCCCCGACGGCGAACTTTCGCTGTGACCACGGGAGTAGTGTTTTGGTCAGCAGGGTGCTGTCCTGACTGCAGCTGAGGTGGGTGAAAAACTAAGTTGGATGATTGTACAAATACTAAGATAAAGAGAAGGAGGAGAAGTAATCATCTGAATTGTAGAGATACAGTGAGAGATAATTATATATCTTGCACAAACAGAAACATTTAAATTGGTGAAATATATTAACACCAATCTTAAAAACAACAGTTTTTCTTAACAAATGTCACCTTCATGTAAGTTAGAATATAATGAATCATATGCTAAATAACTTCAAGAGAAATATTACAGGTACAGTATTGTATTGCTCAGAAATAGGTATTATGAACTATCTAGGAATGTTAAGAAAAATGTAAGGAAAGCAAAGAGACACTGTGAAATCAAAATAGCAAGAGAATCTAAGGCGAATCCCAAGGGACTTTTCCAGGTATAAAGAACAAAGGTCAAGGACAAAGTTGGGCCTTTAAAGTCAGGGAGGGGAGAAGTGATAAATGGCAGTGAAGAAAGTAGCAAAGCATTGAACAGCTACTTCTTATCAGTTTTCACAGAAGAAATTCGCGAGGAAATTCCAGAGGTGGAACTGATATTTAAGGGAAAGGAAGAAGAGAAATTAAAGAATATCACTATCAGAAAAGAGGATGTTCTTAAGAAGATAAATAAACTAAAGAACACAAAATCCCCAGGGCCGGATGAAATTTTCCCTCAAGTCTTGAAGGAGTGTAGGGAACAGATTAGCGGACCCCTCGTAAACTTATTTACAAAATCATTAGACACCGGAGGTGTGCCAGACTTGTGGAAACAGGCAAATGTGGTACCCATATTCAAAAGGGAGACAGAGCATCAGCGTCAAATTACCGGCCCATCAGTTTGACGTCAGTAGTGGGGAAATTTCTTGAATCAATTATAGCAGATAGCATCCGATCGCATCTAGAGAAAAGCAAATTAATCTACGGCTCTCAACATGGATTTACAAAGGGAAAATCTTGTCTAACAAATCTGCTGACGTTTTTTAGGAAAATCTTCGAGGTAGTAGATAATGACGAAAATTACGATGTTATTTACTTAGACTTTAGAAAAGCATGTGACAGAGTACCGCATCAGAGGGATCTGAGAAAAATTAAGGCTCACGGTATCGAGGGGAAAGTTTTAAATTGGATAAAATCATGGTTCACCGATAGAACGCAGAGGGGTCAGCGTAGATGGTGATAAATCTGAGTGGGGCCGTGTAACCAGTGGGGTTCCCCAGGGGTCAGCACTGGGCCCACTCTTGTTCATAATCTACATAAACGATCTAGATACTGGGATCAGCAGTGACATAAGCAAGTTTGCGGATGACACCAAAATAGGGCAGCACATTAATTCAGGGCAGGATGCAAATGCATTACAGGAGGATCAAAAAAACTGCAGGGGTGGTCTGAAAAATGGCAAATGAAATTCAACACCAGCAAGTGCAGCGTACTTAATATTGAAAGAACAAATACTGATAATGTATACAGCCTTAACAACATCAACCTAGAGAAGTCGACTTGTGAAAGAGACCTAGGGGTACTTGTAAGCCCGGACCTACGGCCTAGAAAACTGTGCATTAATGTTCGAAATAAGGCAAACAGAGTATTGGGTTTTATATCTAGAAGTGTAAGTAATAAGAGAGCAGAGGTCTTATTGCAACTACATCTTGCGCTAGTCAGGCCGCACCTCGATTATGCGGTTCAGTTCTGGTGCCCTTGTTATAGAATGGATATCAATTCACGAGAGTCGGTGCAGCGAAGAATGACAAAAATGATTCCGGGATTTAGAAACCTTCCATATCAGGATAAATTAAAGAAACGTAACTTGCATTCCCTAGAAAGACGAAGAGTACGGGGAGATATGATAGAAGTATTTAAGTGGGTGAAAGGAATCAATAAAGGGGATATAGATAAAGTTCTTATAATATCCGAGCAGGATAGGACTCGGAGCAATGGATTCAAGTTGGATAAGTTTAGGTTTAGGAGGGAGATAGGAAGAAATTGTTTCACAAATAGGGTGGTGGACGAGTGGAACAAGCTTAGCATCTTTGTAGTAAGTGCGGGAACTCTGGAAAGTTTCAAAAGGAGGCTAGATAGATTCATGGATGATAGAGAGTGGTAGTAACTCTCGACAGGACATGCCATGCACAGGCCAACCGGCCTATTGCAGACTCCTTATTTTCTTATGTTCTTACGTATTGCTTCCAATAATAGCAGTAGCCTCTATCGTAACAGTGATGTGCAGCAAACTCGTCTTCCAAGCGAGTGGTCCAGGGTTCAATTCCCAAGCAGGGTAAATCTATAACCATGCTTCTTTACTCCATTTGTCTTACTTTAACCAATAACAATAGATGACCTCGATGGCAATCAATTTGCAAACTGTGTTCTGTGTTAATATTTAGCCAGTGCAGTTGGCGAAATGTCTGGTCTTTTTTTTTTTTAATATTCCTTGACACTGGGTCATAAAGTTCGTTAGCCTTGGGTATGGTTGTTATGTTGGTGACAGCTTCTACACCTTAAACAAATTCACGCCTGCGTGGCCCTATATAGGGCCGGCCATCCTCGAACAGGAAGAGCAAAGTTTAGGATTGCTTTTGGTGTGTCCGAGTGGCACGGTGGTAGCGTTCCCTGGTCACACACAAAAGATCATGGGTTCGAAACCTGGCGGGGTGAGGTTGTTATATTAGTGATTGGTGTAATATCTGCATCTGCAAAAATCTCTATCTTCATCAGCATCTACAGTAAAAGATGCGGATGTTTTTGATTTGTAGAGCTTAGGTTTTTATAATATTTATATAATACAAATGTGTTTTATATCACACAGACTAATATTTTTTTAACGTTCTCTCTGACAGAAAAGCACTTTCACTATTCACAGGAAGGGGTTACATCCAAAGGTGTACTGGGGCCGGCTCGATCCAGTTTGCTTGAACCGTTTGTTATATTTCATTGCATCACCAAACAGTTTATTCATTTTCTAACAAATACTTAGGAGTCAATGATATTTATTTTGAAATGATGCAAAAAAGAATTTAATTTCCTCACTGTTAACTACTGCAGTATATGTTACACAAATTAGAGCAAGTTTACACTGATGTATCACAGTATCATGTGGACACATAAAAAACATTGGATCTTAAGAATGGAGGCAACTGCAGCGGGGCTATTGGTCGATACTGGGCAGTGCCATTTACACCCAACCCCTATTGCTCATATATTCATCCAACCTATGTTTGAAGATATCCAGCGTATTCAAGTTAATGATGATATTTGGTAACTTGTTCCACTCGTCCACTACTCTATTTCAAAACCAATGTTTATCTATTTCGCGCCTAAATCTAAATTTGTTTAATTTAAAACCATTGTTCCTAGTTCCCTCCTGGTTGGATAGTTTGAGTACCTTTGTAATGTCACCTTTGTTTAGCCCTGACTTCTATTTATACACCTCTATCATGTCGCCACTCACTCTACGTCTCTCGAGGGAGTGCAAATTAAGATGCTTTAACCTGTCTCTGTATTCAATGGTCCAAATGCCCGGGATTAGTCTTGTCATTCTCCTCTGGATTCTTTCAAATGATTCTATATCCAGTCTGTAATACGGTGACCAGAATTGAACTGCGTAATCCAGGTGAGGTCTCACAAGCGCTAGATATAGTTTTAGGGTGACCTCGCTAGTCTTGTAACACACTCCTTCCTATAGCCTTCCTTTGTTCAATAATATTCTTTAAATAATTATTTATCCATTTAGGGTCATTGTTGTTTTCTTCTTTCCTTGTGGTTATCAGCATATTCCTAGATCACGCGCACCTACAGTGATTTACTTGCATATATATATATATATATATATATATATATATATATATATATATATATATATATATATATATATATATATATATATATATATATGTGTGTGTGTGGAAATTGAAAAGAGGAAGATGTTCACTCTTCCACGTGGACTACAAACTTTTGAAAACAAAGTTTGAGATACATACTCAAATATAAAGTTAATGCTGCCTTTAACTTTTCCTCGTTCTCCTTGGGCGCTGAAGCTGTCCTCTTGAAGCCAGAAGGCGTGCTGCTGAACATACTGTAAAAGAGAAAAATAAAAATATATCTACACTGGTACTGTATACACATCCTTGATGTATAGGGACGCTGATTGCTCCCTGCGACAATTAGGAAGTTTCGTCATTATTTGATGACCTTGTCGCTCTCTTTGATAGCTAGTTCTACCAAGAAACACAAAACAAATGCTTGTATCGATTTTCTCAGCGTGTAGTAGCAATTCTCGTATACACAAAATACTGCCCATAGAGGAGCGGCTTAGACACAAAGTAGTGCAAATGGTGACACGCACAAGGTTTTATCCTGAAGTTTCGTGTGATGGTACGGTACGAATAGAACACCTTATACACGAGTTGTTTTTTAAGATGACGACCATTTATATTCTAGATGGCTTCATTCCCTGTAGTGTATAACAAAACACTGTTTATGCATGCATTTTATGAACTCCTAATACCCTATTTGGGGTATTTTATTCTTAAGTACATTCCCTTGTTAATGTTTTTTTCAGTTTCAAACCGCTGGATGTCATTGAAATACCGATACGATAAAATTCATTCATTTAGGTAACTGTTAGGCACATGGTTTAAAAGTTAACTAGTTGTATTGCATATCACAGCCCTTTTAAAAAATTAAGTTTCTCACTAGTTTATGCATTCATTTTATTTAAAATTTTCTTCATCCATTTTTGTTGGTATACAACTCTCTTAATTAAACTAACAACTACTGTACAGCTACACAATTCTGCACAAGGAAAACTTCTGCAGTTTCCAGTTCAATAGAAGTTTATGTTCCTTCCTTTCAATAGTTTTTGACAAAAGCGGTAGCTGACGCGAATCTAATGACGCCCAGTTTGGCTTCCTCCCATTCCCAACATGACGGTTGATAACTACACACATTTGCTTAACGTATTACATGACCAGTTTGTTAAATTGGGAATTATTTGCTTCATTACTTAAACTTCTTCTACAATTCATGATAGTTTTATAGTTACAAAAGACTCAATAATGTTCAAATCCGAGTCTTAAACCTATTTATGGGTCTGAGGGATTGAGAAACACGATAAAACTTTTGTTCTTTATTCAACGATAGTCCAGGTCTGTCATACTCATGTTTTACCTTTGCCAAAAAATCCTGTAACTGCGTCGCTGTCATTAATAGTTTAGAAAATGGACTAGATTTTGCTCGTACAGACAACGATCTCGATATTCCGTGTACTGCAATCCAACAAAAGTCTTTCTCCAACCTCGCAGCCACACAGTAACCACAACTTTTCAACAGGTCATAAATTTATTATATTTAGCTGAAAAAAAAATGGGTAACCAAACATTTACCTGATGATAAAATGTATCAGCTCAGATTGACTCACGGGTAAAATAACTCCTGTTAAAGTTAAACGCGGCCACAAAATGTAAGGTGGGCAGATAATTACCTGATATATATAAACTAATAGCAGTACGAGCTAAGGCCACGAGGGACTTACCTGAACAAAGAAGGGCAGACCAAGGTCAGTGGGCAGCACCTCAGTGTAGTCCACATATCGCTGGATATGTGGCAAGTTGGTTTGGACAAAAATTCCGTTCAGAAGGGTGGGATTATCTGTAACATAGTGCTTATGGTTATAATGTAAACCAGGCATGGGCAGCATTACAATTTAGTCATTTTTCTACTGGCCAACCCACCAATATATATATAACCAATATCTATATATATATATATATATATATATATATATATATATATATATATATATATATATATATATATATATATATATATATATATATATATATATATATATGTGTGTGTGTGTGTGTGTGTAAGTAAATCACTGTAGGTGGCGTGATCCAAGTATATGCTGATAACCACAAGGAAACAAGAAAACACGAAGATCCCAAGCGCTTTCGTGGCATTTAAAAACTGTCGCTGTACTCAAGGTTCCTAATGCCCGGGATTAGTCTTGTCATTCTTCTCTGAATTCTTTCCAAGGATTTTATATCCATTCTGTACTACGGTGACCAGAATTGAACTGCGTAATCCAAGTGAGGTCTCACAAGCGCAAGATATAGTTTTAAGATGACCTCGCTAGTCTTGTACCTAACACTTCTTTGATTGAACCCAAGTTTAGCCTTGTTTCGAGCAAATACACATTGCTTACTTGGCTTAAGGGTCCTACTTATCATTACTCCTAAACATTTCTCGCAGTCGGATTTCTCAATAACATCGTTGTTCATCTGGTATCTGGTTACCCTGTCTACATCTCCTATACTGAGTACTGTACATTTGTCCACATTAAAGTTCATCTGCCATTTGTCAGACCATTTGAAAATTTTTTTTAGATCTTCCTGTAGTTTTGCGGAGTCATCATCAGATTTAATTACACACCCTATTTTAGTGTCCTCAGCAAATTTACTTATGTTGCTGTCTACGCCGATATCTATGTCGTTTATGTATATAATAAATAATAATGGTCCGAGTACTGAACCTTGGAAAACTCCACTAGTGACGTTACTCCAATGGGATTTGGTGCAGTTAATGCTCACTCGCTGTTTCCTGTCCTGTAACCACGCCCTAATCCATTTTCGAATATCTCCTTTAATGCCATGAGCCTCCACTTTTCTTATTAGCCTTTAGTTGGGGACTTTGTCGAAGGTTTTGCTAAAGTCGAGATATACCACATCATAATTGTGCCCCTCCTCCACTGATTCGAAAACAGATGAAAAGAATGTTAATAGATTAGTTAGACATGAACGCCTTCTTGTAAAGCCATGTTGGGAATCATTGATCAACTTGTGCTTCTTCAAGTGATTTTGAATAAACTTTGAAATGATTGCTTCCAGTAATTTGCCTACAATTGATGTTAGACTGATTGGTCGGTAGTTAGAGGACAGTGATCTATCTCCCTTCTTGAAAATCGGTATTACTTTCGCTATTCTCCAAGATTCTGGTATTAACCCGTTTTTAAGGACATGTTAAGCAAATTTGCTAAGGGCATATTAAGCTCTTCCTTACATTCCTTTAATACTCTGGCAAATATCTCATCGGGACCTGGTGACATATTAGGCTTTAGTTTGTCTATTGCCTACTAACATCGTTACTAGTCACTACTATCTCGCTTTATTTATTTTCTTCACTATCTCTGTATAGAGTCCGTGGTAAAAACTGTTGAAAAATATTTATTCAGATTATTGCTCATTTCTCCGTGGTTATCAGTTAGCTCGCCGGTGTCTGACTGTATTGATTCAATGTTTTCTCGTGTTTTGATTTGATACATTTGATAGAATCCCTTGGGGTTTGACTTCGCCTCCCTTGCTATCTTCAGTTCATTATTCCTCTTTGCTTTTCTTATCTCGGTCTTAATCCTTCTGGCCAATACCTTATAATAATCTCGGAGGTAGACTTCACCACGATTTATTCTCCTACCTATAACCTTCCCTTGTCCAATAATATTCTTTAAATAATTATTTATCCATTTAGGGTCATTGTTGTTTGATCTGAGTTTCCTGTATGGTATGTTCTGCCTTTTTGCATTAAGTAACTCATTATTTAAATTGTTGTGGAACTCGGCAACCTCAGATCTCGTTATCAGGTCATCCTCAACCGTCAGGTCTCCAGATAAGGTGAGGTCACCCTCTGTGGGTACATTGTGTGAGGTCACCTCATGTGAGGTCATGTAATTCACCCCCTTCTCTCAGCTGCCTCTTCAAACTTTCAAAGTTTGCCCTTCTGAAATCTGGGACATTAGTGGAATTTTCCTTGCTGCTGCCTTGAAATTCTAACTGGAATCTAATTTCTTTGTGATAACTGATAGCAAGTTCGTTCCCTACCTCGACATTACTAATGATGTTTTCTCTGTTTGACAGAAATAAATCGAGTTTATTATTACCCCAGGTGCATTCGGCTATCTATTGGCTTAGGAAACAGTCCTGTATTGTTTCAAGAAAATCATTTGATTTTGAGTTACCAGTAAGGTCAATCTAATATACTATAGGACTAGGCGTGTATCTGTCTGTCTGTCTGTTCTGGGCAGCCAAAACTTGGTGGAAAAATCGCAAAAAATTCGTAGAGTGTAAGAAACCTGGTCCCATGTCGATGGTTTCTTTAGGAAGTCTTTAATTAACCATTTTATTTACTATGGAAAACGATGCAAGTCTACAGACTTGGCACACCCTAATTAACCATGAAAGTCTTTGGACTTGGTGCACCCTCATTCGCTGTACTCTAGCCAAGCACGAGCGTTCAAAGTTTCACTGGGGACGAAGGTGCCAGCGATCACTTGTTTAATCTATTTGGCTAAAGTTAAAGTCGCCTACTATGCAGACTTTGCTATGTATGGAAGCCATGCGCATTTCATCCCAAATAAGTCACTCATCAGCTCTTTCAAGATTAGGAGGTCTGTATATTACTCCTGTGATTAATTTTTCCCTACCATCGATTAATTATATCCAAATTGTTTCTGTATTCCTCTCTGTTTTTATTTCTTTATTTATTTCACACTTCAGATTATCCGTGACATAGATTGCTACTCCGCTTCCTTTCCTAATCTACCTATCGGTATGGAATAATTTGTAACCCGCAATTTGGTATTCAACAGGTAACTCACGTGAGTCTAGGTTTATCCCTGTTTCGGTGAATGCTATTATATCGATTTTTTCGGTACATACCAACGCTCTGATTTCATCCATCTTGTTTCTCATACTTCTGCTGTTTGCGTAGTAGACATTTACGTTAGTCATGTTCTAATTCCTCTCTTTTTTGCGTTTAGGTTTTAACTCCTGACCTAATTTAGTTTTGTCATAATTCCCAGCACTATTTCCCTGTAACCTTTCACTTTGTTTACCCGCTCTCACTGCAGCCTCCTCAACCCCCGTGCTCATATCTTCTCCTAGCAGTTTAAAGACTTCGACATCTTTTGAAGGAAATATTACGGAAAAGACAAAGTACCAGCTGTGTAAATTATGTTAGGGAGCTTGAAGACCTTCAGTAGAAAGGGAAAGCTTGAGAGAGAAGATTATAAGAGCATACCTGGAAGGTCGATGATGAAAATTAATATGCTATAGAAAACGAATCAAATTCATACCAGCTGCAGCATGTGAAAGGAAGTGGACTCCTTCCTCCTGCCCCAGCCAATACTCCGCATTATTTTTCTGACCAAATAAATTGATCACAAGCTCCTCCTGTAAATAGTGATAAAAGAGAGATCATGAAGCAAAGTGGGTTCAGGCTTAAGCGAACATTCAGCGGAAACTTCATTTCATAATAATTCTGGAATGTTGTGATGGTTCCTGGGATTATTACTCAAATTATTAATTACTCTTATATTGTTATAGTTTAATATACCTGTTTTAACATAATGGTGAATGATATGGAGGGGTACTGATCTAATTTTAGTTGTAATACATATACTCAAACATGAGTTTGCATTTCCAAAATAGTTTTTTTATTACAATTAAATTATAATTTATCCAAATTGGTGTGTGATTTAATGTTATTTGATGGATTGATTAATATGAATATAGTATATCAGAGTTAGTAACTTAAAACTATATATAAAATAGATATACAAAAATTGTGACCAATTTCTAGGTAGCTCATCTGACTTTCTACTTCATTTACATACAATTGCAGGGTCTCAATTGTTTCTCGCACTTTGACAACGCAACATACATATATCGTTTCTCAGCATTAATATTTTTTTTATTTCGTAATTATTATTATTATTATTATTATTATTATTATTATTATTATTATTATCATTATTATTATTATTATTATTATTATTATTATTATTAATTATAATTATTATCATTATTATTATTATAATTATAATTATTATTATTATTATAATTATAATTATAATTATTATTATTATTATTATTATTATTATTATTATTATTATTATTATTATTATTATTATTATTATATTTTCACCCCCTAAGCCCTGATGTGGGTAACAAAAAATAATTTATAATGTATACCATGATGGTCAATGACCACTTCCCACTCAAAGTCTAATATGGCATTTGAAGAGCATAGAGACAAGTACATCATCTCGAGTTAGGCCAAACGTCCCGCAGTCCGGACAGATACGTCCAAATGAGAGCTGCCTCAGGGCGACCCCTTCGGTGGGTGAGGCTGACAACCCATGCTTGGATCTAGGACCTTGTGGGTGGTCATACCGGATGTCAACAGACAACGGCTAACATAACTTGCTGAATCTCGGAGCTTTTCCCCCAACTCACACACCCCGGCAAGGTGGTGTATTTGAGCGTTTCTCTGCACCTGTAGCTCTGTTGTTGCTCTGAAGTGATAAAAATTATAGTCAATCAATCTCAGGGTAGCATATACATCAATATCACTTTACCTTGAGCTCCTCATACATGTCACGGGCGATGGCTGCGATGTCTCTATCGTCCATTTTGTGGTTCATGAAGAGGAAATTGTCGAAGTTTATTCTGAAGGCGTGATCAAAGTGGAGTTGTCCAATATTTATCTGAAAATCATCATAAAGTTGGTAATGGTGGCAAGAAAAATAAAAATAAGAACTATAAAAAAATTTCCAGTAGAATACATATTCAGGAATTGTTGATATAATTTGTGTGCGTCATTACACACACACATTATATATATATATATATATATATATATATATATATATATATATATATATATATATATATATATATATATATATATATATATATATATAGTGATTTATATATATATATATATATATATATATATATATATATATATATATATATATATATATATATATATATATATATGTATATATATATATATATATATATTTTTCTGCATGTATACACACACAGGCATAGACAAACATTCAATCACACAGACGAAGATTATACACCACGCACAATAGGTATGGAGGTATGCACACCAACACAAATCCAAGCAGAAGCACAGAAATATATACATATTACTTGCAACATTTCTTATGGTGTATAAGTTAAGTAACCTCAAAAACTTACCATGAAAGTTTCTGAGAAGCCAAAGAAGGCATTCATCTTCAGGCGTAAAATAATCGCGGCAGGGAAGAGGTTCTCAGTATTGGCAAACCATCCAAGGGTAGCGAGAGTCTTTGCCTGTGATTAAACACATATTTTATCTCCTAATTCTATGGTAGACTCTTCGTATGTTATGTAATACCATGGTAGAGTCTTGGTATGTTATACATAATACAATAGTAAAGTCTTGGTGTTTTATACAAAACTAAGGTGGACTCTTAGTATGTCATATAATACTTTGGTAGAGCTTTGGTATGTTACATAATACCATGGTAGACTCTTGGTATGTTACATAATACCATGGTAGACTCTTGGTATGTTATATAATACTTTGGTAGATTCTTAGTATGTTATATAAAACTATGGTAGAGTCTTAGTCTTAGTATGTTATATAAAACTATGGTAGAGTCTTAGTCTTAGTATGTTATATAATTACTAAGGTAGAGAATTAGTATGTTATATAATACTATGGTAGAGTCTTAGCATTTTATATAATACAATAGTAGAGTCTTAGTATGCTATATAATACTATGGTAGAGTCAATAAATGTATGGCTGAATCTTTAGATCATTGATGCTGTTTGAATGTTTTGGAAGTTTTATTGGAATTACAGTCTTAGAAAGGTGATTTGATCAAAGATGTTACCACTGATAAGTTCTATATTTACCTAATGTTCGCTTGTTCTTGTAACCTGTACCTGAGTCTAGATATGTATCGGTACAAGTGGTCGTATCTGCCCCTGTATCTGTTGTTTATATTTATGAATTTGAAACCATTACAAAAATAAAATGCAAATAGGATCAAGATTCTCCAGATTTAGTATTTAATTTATTGCGTATCTGCAGGAGTGAGAACGTGACTGGTAAAGTGAGAGTATTACTGGTGATGTGAAAGCGTAGCTCATGATATGAGCCCACAACTGGTGATGTAAGAGCATAACTGGTGATTTAAAAGCATAACTGGTGATTTAAGAGCATAACTGGTGATGTGAGAGCGTAACTGGTAAAGTGAGAGTTTAACTGGTGATGTGAGAACTTAACTGGTAAAATAAGAGCATAATTGGTGATGTGAGAGCATGACTGGTAATGTGAGAGCGTAACTGGGGATGTGAGAGCGTAAAGGGTGATGTGAGAGCATACCTGGTGATGTGAGAGCGTAACTGGTGATGTGAGAGCGTAACTGGTGTTGTGAGAGCGTAACTGGTGATGTGAGAGCGTAATAGGCGATGGGAGAGCGTAACTGGTGATGTGAGAGCGTAACTGGTGATGTAAAAGCTTAACTGGTGCTGTGAAAGCATAACTGGTGATATGAGAGCATAACTGGTGATGTGAGAGCATAACTGATGACGTGAGAGCGTCACTGAAGAAGTGAGAGTGTAACTGGTTATGTGAGACCGCAACTGATAAAGTGAGAGTATAACTGGTGAAGTGAGAGCATCACTGATGATGTGAGAGCGTCACTGGTGAAGTGAGAGCATTATTGGTGATGTGAGAGAGTAACTGGTGATGTGAGAGCATAACTGATGATGTGAGATTATATCTGGTGATGTGAGAGCATAAATAATGATGTGAGACCATAATTGGTGATGTGAGAGCGTAACTGGTGATGTGAGAGCATAACTGATGATGTGAGAGCGTCACTGGTGAAGTGAGAGTATAACTGGTTATGTGAGAGCGCAACTGATAAAGTGAGATTATAACTGGTGATGTGAGAGCATAACTGCTACTATGAGAGCGTAACTTGTAATGTGAGAGCGTAACTGGTGTTCTGAGAGCATAACTAGTGATGTGACAGCGTAATTGGTGATGTGAGAGCATAACTGGTGATGTGAGAGCATAACTGGTGATGTGAGAGCATAACTGGTGATGTGAGAGCGTAACTGGAGATGTAAGAGCATAACTGGTGATATGAGAGCGAAATTGGTGATGTGAGAGCATAAATAGTGAAGTGAGAGTGTAACTGGTTATGTGAGAGCGTAACTAATAAAGTGAGAGTATAACAGGTTAAGTGAGAGCATCACTGATGGTGTGAGAGCGTAACTGGTGATGTGATAACGTAACTGGCGACGTGAGAGCTTAACTGGTGAGGTAACAGCGTAACTGGTGATGTGAGAGCATTACTGGTGATGTGAGAGCGTAACTGGTGATGTGAGAGCATAACTGGTGATTTAACAGCGTAACTAGTGATGTGAGAGCATAACTGGAGACGTGCAGGCGTCACTGGTGATGTGCATTACTGGTGATTTGGGAGCGTTACTGGTGATGTGACAGCATAAATGGTGACGTGAGAGAATAACTGGTGATGTGAGCGTATAACTGGTGATGTGAGAGCATAACTGATAAAGTGAAAGCATAACTGGTGATGTGTTGATCGTAACTGGCGATGTGTGAGCGTAACTGGTTATGTGAGAGCGTAACTGGTGATGTGAGAGCCATAACTGGTGTAGTGAGAGCGTAACTGGTGATGTGAGAGTATAACTGGTGATGTGAAAGCGTGACTATTGATGTGGGAGCATAACTGGTGATGTGAGAACGTAACTGGTGATGTGGGAGCATAACTGGTGATGTGAGAGCGTAACTGGTGATGTGAGAGCGTAATTGGTGATGTGAGAGCGTAACTGGTGATGTGAGAGCGTAACTGGTGATGTGAGAGTATAACTGGTGATGTGAGAGCGTAACTGGTAAAGTGAGAGTATAACTAATAGAGTGAGAGCATAACTGGTGATGTGAGAGCGTAACTAGTGATTTGAGAGTATAACTGGTGATGTGAGAGCGTAACTGGTGATTTGAGAGCGTAACTGGTGATGTGAGAGCATTACTGGTGATGTGACAGCATAACTGGTGATGTGAGAGCGTAACTGGTGATGTGTGAGCTTAAGTGGTGATGTGAGAGCTTAAGTGGTGAAGTCAGAGCATAACTAGTGATGTCAGAGCATAACTGTTGATGTTAGAGCATATCTGGAAATGTGAGAGCATAACTGGTGATGTTAGAGCATATCTGGTAATGTGAGAGCATAACTAGTGATGTGAAAGCGTAACTGGTGACGTGAGAGCAAACTGGTGATGTGAGAGCATAAATGGTGATATAAGGTAATTATTCATGGTAGAATGTATTCAGTTTAATAGTTTTTTCAATAAAAATAATGATGATTGTAACTGAAAGGAAAAGAATTGACGGTACAGAAAGCGTTCAGCGTACGAGAGGTGTTGAGGGTAGGGTAGGCACCAGATCAATGCCATTGACCTAGGGTAGGCGCTGAGAGTGCGAGAGACGTTGAGATTATGGGAAGCATTGAGGGTAGGGGGAGACGTTGGTGGTAGGAGAAACATTGAGAGGTAGAAGTTTAAGCGTAAGAAGTATAGGTGTATCTTACCTCACATTTGGCGAGGAAATTCGGGATGTAAAATAGGGAGGAATGAGATAGGGACGGTGTAGCAGGAGGCTTGGCCAGGTGGAGCACATGGGAAGCGATCTTAGACCTGTAAAGTAATGTACGTGTTTTTAAGGTGATATTATTTATTCTACAAATGGGAAGCGAATTAAAGTAATAAGTACTGAAAGGTACAACAGTAAATAAACGCGATGTTGTAAAAAAGTACACATATGAAGCAAAAAATCAATAAACTCCTTGACGTTTACTAGTAGATCAAAAGACTTACCAATATTTTATACTATGGCCCAAAGTTTATTTTTCAGTCTCTACTCTATCAATGGAGACCAATTATTTGCTAAAGTACAAATATCATAGACTATATTGAGCAAATCCATCATTATGCTGACAAAGCTACTACAATTGTTAATGGGGATTTATCCGTAACAGATTCTCTCTTCTGTAGTCAAAAGTGGTCAGATTTAGTACTTGGTCTCGTTTAGGGTTGAGATATTTGGGTATTTATCCTTGGTCAACTTTATATATATACTTGTGAACAATATTCATTCGACACTTTTAGCAATAATTGGCATCTACTTGAAGATCATATAGATATAGTCAAGGCATTTTCTAGTCCCACGGGGGCAAAACTGGCATAGAACAATTTTTTGCGGTTCTGTTTAAAGTTCAGTAATACTACCAACATGTGAAAAGTCAATGTAAGGGTAAATTTGGGAAAAAAATGCGTTTTTAATTTTAACTCCCGTTAGGTCAATCAGCCTCTGTTAAATGCATATTGTGGCCAGATTTCAGCTTCTGGTAAAACACATATTTCATTTCTCCTTACAATGTGATTAATGTTGGAACCTGAATAACCAGAAAAGTGAGTTTTGATAATATTCAGTACTATATAGTTCGAGAAAATTATATCAGGGAAAGAGTATTTACATATTAAATTAACCTTCAATGTGTTTTTTGTGAGGGGAAATTACTTTTTAAGGGCTATATATACATTCTATTGATTTAATTCTGGAAGCGGTTACCGAAGGCGCACGTTGACTGGGACGGCAAAAAAACATAAAATTTGACTAACTTCCTGGATCTTCCCAGAATTTTTCTTCTGCACTTTTTTTTTAATATCATGGCATTTTGGGCTTAAAAATCTCTAACTACTAAAGAGGATTGGGAATTTAACCACATCAATTCCTGATTTTTTTCATGCTGTTATTCTGGCATAAAGATGAGAAACATACAGCAGAATAAATGTCAGGTATGGCCAATTATCGAGATGTTTTTCAGTTTAACTGTACTGTACATATCAGCGACATTACTCTCATTTAATTTTCAATTCTAATGGTGAAAATATTTGGACTTATTACAAATATTGTTTCTAAGGAATGAGACAAGGATGAGAAAAGTGAGGACGAGTGGAAAGAGAAATTTACCCTCTGCAGTACTTACATAGGTTCATGACTATGAGCGAGGGAAGTGATGGTGGCAGAGATGAGGCTGGCCACTTGAGAGGAGGGCTCATACCAAGTAGAGAGGGCAACACGCTTCCACCACGTGGCACTTGGTTCCCAGAAGTGCATAGTGGTGAAGGCAACGCTACGAACTACTTGGTCCTCACCGATGTTCTCAAATACAGGCATCAATAATTGGAACACCTGAAGTGAGGTGAGAGGTTAATGTATATACAGGTGTCGAGTTTATTGGCGACAATTTATTGATGTTACAGAAAGAATATTTGTGGGACTTATAACATAGTCTGTATATTTAGCTTGGCCAGATTGTTTGTTACATAACTAATAACGAATATTCATCTTAGTACAGGAGGACGTTCGTGTCCTGAATTAAAAACTTGAATAAATATTAAAATAATGCTAGTTTTCCCTAAAAAGAAATAAAGGACAATCAGGGGATATTTTAAGATCTAAACAGAAAAGTTAAGTAGTTCGTGAGAGCAGTAGGCATGCTTGAAGGAGAGCAGGAGTCACTCTGTCTCTCGTTAGCGGCAGGCGGTGTCATCTTCCTCTGCAACGCTAGAACGCCCCACGTGGCCACAATACTTGTGGGCGATGTCAACCTTACTCACAAGCAAGCGTGGTTCAATTGTATACAGGGGAATCACAGTGGTTAATGGGTGGATTATTCCAAGTCTTAGTGGAGCTGACTTAGTGGTGACTGCTTGATGGGACCACGGCTGGGATTATCGCACGAGATTCACTGGGTCCCAGGCGGAAGTACGCTTCGATGTGGGCAACCTGTTTTATCCAGATCTCCCAGGATCAGACTGAAGTGTGCCACACACGCCCCTTAGGAAGCCGCTGAGATTGGCGTAAAGCCGCACACTACACTACACCATAGCTAAGGAGTGTATACAATGCATGGGGAATAATTGCATAAAATGAGGGAAACTAATACTCTTTTCTGACTAGGGTCAAGTACACCTGGTTGTATGATGATCTGACATAACTGGTCAGGATTACCTCTGCTGCTCTCCCTCTCATGTATAGTAAACGGGAGATAAACCTACCCCTGGATGCAGCATGAGTGAATGAAAATATTGATGGACTATGGGAGACAGGGATTCCCATGATGCTAGAGAGAAGAGTACTGTTCTTCTGTATGCCAGTTGAGTATCTGTGCTTATTCTTCTATTAGGTGCCTTCATCTCTCTTCAACTATGGGTGTATGTTGTTTGTTTAACCAAATCCTGGTGTTAGGTCGACGCCCCAAATGGTTGATCTTATACTCTGGACATGGGGGTGCTAAAGGATTGTCTTGGTGCTATGCTTGTGGTGTAATGTTACTGTAATGGTGTATTCTGGGCCAGTGTCATTGAACACGGCTACGGGTATGTTGGAGGAAACACGCATGACTTATGAACTCAGGAGTACAGTTTAAACAATCAGTTCGTAACCCGCCCCCCCCCCTAACAAGTCATTAGGGGTTCCTTGGTTTTCACCTAATTTTGGGTCTCATGTATGTGCATCCTCATTGGGCTCTGATGATATCGGGCCGTTATGACATTTGCTGATTCTTTTGTGGGATTTCAGACCACTATACTATTTTTATGAATATGTTCACTGAGGGGCTGCTGAGGTAAGGATCCATCAGAAGTTGTGTTTTTAACGGAAGGAGAGTGGGCTTAAGCAGAGGGAGGCGCGACCCTTGACCTCAGCAACTCCTGAGCTGGTGAGGTTATATCACCCATTTTGTTGTGATGCACGATGCATACAGGGACGTGCACGAGTCTTGGGTAATAATTGGGTCGTTGTGAGCTCACATTAGGACCAGTGTCATATTTTCCTACACTGATAATATTTGTGTCTAGTGGTGAGGGATCAATCCAAATGAACTATTGTCCTGTGCAATTAATAGTTTTCTAGTGCTGTAAGGATGGTACTGATGATTAATATAAGTGTCATATCATTACCTGAGCGTCTCTTTAAGCCCAGTCTCAGGAACTCCAATCCCGGTCACGGTAAATACTAAAAGTACTATATTAATTTAATTCGTGCCGATTCGGTATTCTGAGGGGGCCCTTCCTTTGCATTACCATCCATTAATGAACCCCGATAAGAATTCCGATCAGTGATTTACTTGCATATATATATATATATATATATATATATATATATATATATATATATATATATATATATATATATATATATATATATATATATATATATATATATATATATATATATATATATATATATATCCTATTAGTACATGAAAAATATATAATCTTACCGTACTACGAACAGCTTCAGGCAGATGATTGGGGGTCAGACTCAGGATGGCGTTTATTCTCAGTGAGATGTGTGTGTCTCTGTCACCAAGAACGATGTGCTTGATGACGTCCACGGCTTGAGGAGTACCAAGGTTGTCGAGGGCTTTAAGGTACACCAGCCTCATCCAAGTGGGCGAGTCTTCATCCTGGGGAGTACCAAGATTATTGTCTCTCTTTTCTCTGTGGCTTTCTCTCATTCATTATCTCTTATTAAATTATTTGTCTTTCTCCGCCTTTCTCTCTTTTGCAGTGTGTCTCTTATTCTCTACCACTATCTCTCTCTTTCTCTCTTACCTGTACACCTTGCACAAGAGTCGGGAAGAAGCCATTAATAATGAGGTCGTGGGAGCAGGTGTGCTGTGGGTCACAGGTGTTTTCGCTAAACTGCTCCCACTTGCTAGGGCTAAGACACAGATCATGAGCCAATGTAGCAAAGTTCAACAGCGCAAACGGCTTAACGTATTTATCAGAAGTTTCCCAAGACAGGCTCTTTACTAAATTCTGAAATTACAAGAAAATAGCATTATAAACTCTCTCCCTTTACCTAATCCTTGTTTTACCGATATATAATAATAAAATACCATGAATCCTATATACTTGGGGGCGTTTGCTTCTAGTTGTACGATTGCCATTGGCTACAAAAAAGGGGAAAGAGGGGAGATGTCCGTTAGTCAGAGGTACGATAACAATTCCCCCACCGGCCTGGTGGGAGACGGCCCCCTCCTAAAAGTGAAAAGTAAGTGTGTAAAATTAAGTTGATTGTGTAGTTGTCTAGTTGATGCAATGTAGATGATAGTGTAGACTGTAGAGGATGTAGTGTACAGCAGATAAATGTGTAGTGCATGCGGTGTAGATAATTGTGTAGTTGATGTTGTGTTGATAATAGTGAAGTGGATGTAGTGTAAAGTAGAAGTTGTAGTGTAAAGTAGAAGATGTAGTATAGATGGTAGTATAATCACTGACATAAGCTATGAGCATCCTCTTAAAAGCAAACCAGGCGCCCCAGTTAGCATCTTCAAATGTTGTCTTGATATGTTCCTTTTCTTTTAAGTATGAAAAATATATAAATGTGTCTCTAACAGTGTTTGAAATGTTTTTATTTATTATTGTGAATACCAAATTTAACTTTTCTGTTAACTTTCAGAAAATATAAATCTCTATTTTTCATCAGAATATGAAATAAGCGTAAAATATCCTTTCTTAATCAATGTTCCTTTATATTTCCTCTCACAAATAATAACCACGTTACTAACCATACAATTTAATACTATACCTACTACTACTTTGCTGTCACTCGGAATCGAGTAGGACGATCATCCAGCTATGATACAATGATATGAGTTATTAAGGATGTCACCTAGGTTGGTGAGTTTTAAGGTGACTAAAGAGGCCGATACGGGACCGGCAGATTCGATCATAGATGTTGCACATGTGGATGGCTCCATCTAGTGCGGGAGGGGCAGCGACAGCGTCTTTCCGGCGCTGGTGCTTGTCTGCCTCGGTTTGCAGTCGGGCTAATTCGAAAGTATTAACACCTTGTGTGGTGCTCTTCCAAAGCGTTAAGGTGTGGAGTGATCGTCTCCCAGGTGAGGGGGTCGATTTGGCACTTTTTCAGGTTTGTCTTAAGACTATCCTTATACCTTCTCAGTTGCCAGCCAGCATTACGTTTACCATTCGTTAGATGACTATCAAGTAGCTACTTTAGCAGTCAACTGTCGTCCATGCGGGTAACATGGCCAGTCCAGCGTAGTTGTTCATGGATAATGGTAGCCTCGATGCTCCTACAGTTGGTGTCAGCGGGAATAGTGGCAGTCGTTCTCTTGTCTTCCCAGCGAACTCGGAGGATAGAACGTAGACTACGTTGATGAAACTTTTAAAGTGGCTTGAGGTGCCTCCTGTATATATTCTATGTTTCGCAGCCATATAGTAGGGTGGGAGGATCACTGCTCGATATACAGTACGTGCAACTTTGAAGATAATTTCAGCTCCCTACAGCTGAAGACACGGGTAAGGAGTCTGCTAAAGGCTTGAGATGCACATCTGATCCAATGCTGAAGCTCTTCGTCGATGTGTGAGGCGGTGGATAGGTGGGAGCCGAGATACTGAAAGTGGGTAACATTAGAGAGGGTAGTACCATTAAGCTGGATGGATGGTGGAGGTGTGTCTGAATCAGGGGCAGGCTGAAAGAGAATCTAAGTGTGTATAAGCATCTGCATAGGTGTTCAGGATCTCCTGTAGGTTGCGTTCAGAGTAAGCGACAAAGGTTAAGTTGTCTGCACACTGAAATTCAGTAATGGAAACTGCCGACACCTTTGTTCCTGCCCGGAGTCGTCTTATTTTGAAAAGAACCTTCATCCGGTACTCCATGTCCACCCCGACGGCTAAATTGGCACGAGCACGAGTAAGGAAAACAGCCAAGAAAATAAAAAAGAGGGTTGGAGCCAGTACATATCCTTGTTTTACCCCCGTTTGGATGGGGAAGAACTCAGACTGGGTGCCATTGTGCAGGACACTGCCGTTCATGCCATCGTGGAGTTGCCTCACAATGGCGATGAATTTTGGTGGGCAGCCAAACCGGCTGAGGGTTCGCCAGAGGGCTTCCTTGTTGACCGATTCGAAGGCCTTGGTTAGGTCGATGAAGGCCATGTACAGGTCACAACGCTATTCTCTACATTTTTCCCGTATCTGACTGGCAGGAAAGATCATGTCAGTGGTGCCACGTGATGGTCTAAAGCCATATTGACATTCTAGGAGGAAATTTTCCTCCTCAGGAAGAAGTCTGTTCAGGAGGACTCGGGCGATAATCTTGCCAGCTACGAACAGCAGCGAGATCCCGCGGTAGTTGCCACAGTCTGACCGGTCTCCCTTGTTCTTATAAATATTGGTAATGGAGGCGTCTTTAAGAACTCTGGGGATTTCTTCCTTTTCCCATATATTCTCCAGGGGAGAGTGGGGACGGCTAGTAAGCAGAGGTCCTCCTATTTTATACACATCGGCTGGGATTCCATCAGGCCCTGAAGCTTTGTTATTTTTCATCTGTTTGATGGCAGTAGCTACCTCATCCAGGGATGGAGGATAGCTGAGATGGGTCAGCTCTGGATGCTGAGGGACCTGCTGGGTAGTCAGGACATCCACACCGGTGTTTTGGTTGAGCAGCGAATGGTAGTGCTCTCTCCACCGCTTATGGAGGCCTTCTTCATTTTTAATTAAGGAGTTACCGTAGGATGAGCAGAGGGGGGCTGTGCCATGAGCGATTGGTCCACAAAATAATTTAGTGGGATTGAAAAATTTGCGCATCATGTATTGATCTGGAAGTTTTTGCATTTCACATGCTTTATTTTTAAAGCAGTCGTTCTTTAGTTTGCGGAGTTCGCGCTGGGCCGCCACTTTCTTCTTGCAGAAGGTATCAGCTTTGATCCTAGACTGAGGGTTGTTCTTCCAGTCAGTTAAAGCAGCACATTTATCATCGACAAGTACATTGATTTCCGAGTCATTTTCATAAAACCAGACCTGTTGTATTTTTTCGACCTAGCCGAGGGTCACTCTGCAGGTTTTTGTCATGGCAGTGTCGAGAATACTCCATTTGGGACTGGGATTTGGGTTATTTGTTGTTGGGTAGCTTATCAGCCCATGTTCGAGCTGCTCTCTGAAAGCATGTGCTACCCCTGGATCCTCCAGACGCTTAGTGTTAAAATCTCTTTTGAGGGCTTGTTGCCTTCGCCGTTTTGGGGCGACGTGAAGTGAGAGCTTGGCTCTGACAAACCGATGATCAGTGTCACAGAGGTCTGAGCCACACATTGCTCGGGTGATAAGGCCATCTCGGTGATCTCTTTCTCTGATAATTATGTAGTCAATGAGATGCCAGTGTCGGCCTGCCTAAACAAGGTATTGTGATAGTGAGGTTGTGTACAGCACACTTGCTGAGGGGGAGTAGGCCGTTGGGATTACACTTGCCTGGTCCATTTCTCCCTATGATTCCCTACCAAACGTCAGCATCTCTACCAACTCTGGCATTGAAGTCACCAAGGAGCACAACCTTATCTTCTCTGGGGATAGAGGTTAGCACTCTGTCAAGGTCGGCATAAAAGGCCTCCTTGATGTTACTGTCTGCATCCAGTGTTGGGGCGTATGCATCGATGAAAAATGCATGCCGTGAGTGATTCAGTGGGACTCTGAGCGTCATGAGGCGGTCATTGATCCCAACAGGCAATTCAGTTAGCCTGTGTAGGATGCGTTGGCGGATGGCAAAGCCAATTCTATACCATACAATACAATACCATATCCTATCATATAATACCATGCAATACAATACCATATAATTTCATAGCATGCTATACAATACAGTAATATAAAACAAAGAACTAACCATGACATCTGGAATAAGCAAGGGATTTTTCATACTCTTGTGAATAGTCTCAAAGAAGTTGAGTACAATGATATTATAATCTTCTCTGAAGGTCGGGTCGTTCATCTTGTCTAGCAGGTAGCTCAGGGAGGGCAGTGTCCCTGCATTGATTAACAGCTCGTAGAAGATCACTCTGCAAATAAAAAAGGTTGTGTCGTTTGATTTGTTACGAAGGTACACTGCCAAAAAAGTTTCGGCCCTCCCTGGCCATGATAAAAAAAAAATCAGTGTACATCATTACGGAACATTTATCTTGTACAAAAAGAAAGTAAGGGTATATAGATGATTGTTCTTTTTCGTCTGTACGTTTGCTTGGTCGGATTAGTTACAATAGATAGCACAAAGATAGTGGAACCATAAAATATCTAATCCATGTTATAGTGAGAGACTTGACAGTTAAAATATCAAGGACTGAGACTAATTTGGTTAAAAGCCGGTGTGAAAAGGCATTGCAATAGGTCAGTAGTGGTTAACAATATTTTTCAACAAGGAGATAAATATGTGAAGAAGACATATAATGGTGTTGTCACTATGATAACGAGAGAGGCAAAAATAAAAACAGACAGATATGAAAAGACAAAGACCAAAGATTGAGAGATATTGAGTCATAATTATATAGATAGGTAGAGGGTGGGAGTGAAAGGTCAGTCGGCTCCTTACATTTTCTTTAATTGGAATTCATCTTCAGGGATATGGTTAAAGACGTCGTGTATCTCTGTTCTACTGAGCGTTGTCACATACGCTACCAGGGCGCTGACCTCCTTCACCAAGTGGTTCCTGCTGTAAGGGCTCGTCGTCAACCGAGTTGCCAGGGTTACCAGACCTCTCGAGATATTGGTCTGAGAAGGAAAGTACAACGGTTCTCAATGGTGCACAACCAATAACGATAAGTCCACACACACACACGCACACACACACATATATATATATATATATATATATATATATATATATATATATATATATATATATATATATATATATATATATATATACACAACCCAATGAACCTAAGTACTTTGTTAGCCTTGTTTCGAACAAACACACAGTCGGATTTCTCTATAATAACGTTGTTCTTCTGATATCTGGTTTCTCTGTTTACATCTCCTACAATAATTAAAGAAGGAATGTAATAGCTTGTAACACCTTTGAAAATTATTTTACATATATTTCCTCACAACGAATCAAATAGCCTTAGGATAGTGTAAAGCAAACCCGAGAAACTATATAGGTTTGTTAGTCTCACGAGTATAATATGTAAATTAATGGAGGCACTCGTGAGAGAAAAAGTAATGAATCACATGAATTGTTTCAAAGGATTCATTAACAAGCAGTTTGGGTTTATCGGGGAGATATGCAGTTTCAAGAGTATTAAACGAGTGGAAAGAAAGGCTAGATGACATTCAGGCAGTGCATTCTATATAGCATTTCACACAAGGGTGCTTGAGTAGCTAAAAAGCTACAGCTATAATGGTGACATATATGTTGAATGGATAAGCTCATTTATCAGTAACAGAAAATAAAGTTATAGTGAAAGGCTGGCACCAGAATGAAGTGAAGTCATCAGATGAGTGTCACGGGGCTCGGTAATCAAACCACTGCTATTTGTGTTATATATATATATATGACGTCCTGATGTAATAAAAAATGAAGCTGATATACAGATGATTATTGAAGATTAAGTAATGAACACTGCATAAAGTTACAAGAAGACATAAATGAAATGAGATGTTATTCAGGATAATGGTTGCTATAAATCCACCCTCAAAAGTGTACTTATATATGAGAACAAGCTGCCAGACCACGTTAAGTAATTATGAATATAATATACCAGTTTCTTAAGATTTACTGATCATTTGGGAGAAAAGATAAATAAGACATACCGAATTGAGGGGTACGTGAGGAGGTCATTCGCAAGTCTGGAAATATCTAAGACTATATAATTATGCGACACGCGTAAGACCTCATCCAGGGCCGGATTAAGCCTTGCCAGGGCTGGGGACAATGAATATTTTCGGGCCGGATTCAACATGAATGCCACTCCGGAGTACAGGTTGTCCGAAGTTGAGTAAAGAATTTCTCGTCTCTCTGGCCTATTTAAAATTCACCCTCACAGACATACACTGTCACAGCAGCATCACACACCCTCACAGACATACACTGTCACAGCAGCATCACACACCCTCACAGACATACACTGTCACAGCAGCATCACACACCCTCACAGACATACACTGTCACAGCAGCATCACACACCAATACAGGCATACACCGTCATAGCAGCATCACACACCATCACAGGCATTCACCGTCACAGCAGCATCACATACCATCACAGGCATTCACCGTCACAGCAGCATCACACACCATCACAGGCATTCACCGTCACAGCAGCATCACACACCATCACAGGCATGCACCGTCACAGCAGCATCACACACATTCACAGACATACACCGTCACAGCAGCCTCACACACCCTCACACTGTATCCAGACTGTTATTTTCATTTGTAAAAAGAGGAGGTGAAAAAAATATATATTATCCACTCGATATTTTGGGGCCGGTCAAGATCTGAGGCCTGGGACAAATGCCTCATTTGCTCCCGCTGTAATTCGCACCTGACCTCATCTGGAATACACGAACCAAGTTTGGGCATCATTTTTTTATCAAAGAAGTCGCGGTTCAAGACGTCTAGTGAAGGGCGAGCTTCTTCCCTCCTTGAGGAACTTGAGCTATAAAGAGAGACTAAAGAAACTAAACTTACTGCATCTTTACTTTTTATAGACAGGTAAGATCAAGTTAGCTTAGGGTATAATGAAGAAACACATAAAAGCTATCACTATTTCACTATTATCCCTGAATATAATCAGAAAGAGCGATGTAATGAAATAGATTAAAGGATTCATCATTAATATTAGCTTAAAAATTCTGGGTTGCTGTCAAGAAACATGTCTTAGACACCAAGAGAAAGAAGTGTAGTGTCATGTGAGGACTGTGTGAGAGGGACTAAGGGCGGAGGTGGTAAACAACTCACCTTGATCTCGGTAATCAGTTGACTGGTGATTGGGACGCCTGTGGCGGCATGCTCCAGGTTGGGACGAGTCTCGCCTCTCCTCTCCTGCCACCACAACCAATACCATTAGTTAATACACGAAGAACACACACACACACACACACACACACACACACACACACACACAGGCACAGGCACACATTACATATATAGCATAGTCTACCTGTGTTTGTGTGTTTGATTGTTTGTACTGTATGTTCACGATCTCTGGCTGTAGGTTTGAAGATAGCTGAAATTTGGCAAGGAAATGGTCATATCCCCAGAAGTGACCTGAAAGTTAAATTTTTGAGTTGATAGTGTAGTTACTGTTGTGTAGATGATAGCTACCACTCAAATACCAAACATAGGCAACCCCGGCTTCCTCAGATAGTACACGTCTAAATAAACAAAAGCACATAATCTATAAACATATTCATACACAAACATATACATTAATATGCAAGAATACATATTAGCACATACATGCGTAAACACAAACAAAAGCATGTATATGTGTACAATGAAAGACAAAAGTCGTGTCGCGGTTATGTCCGAAGATAAAATATAACTCTTAAAACATTATGAGATCCTTACCACAAGGCAGAGCGCACCAAAAGTTTTAGCTTTTCGGCATATGTTTTCACCAAATTTCACGACACGACTTTTGTCTTCCTGTAGTACGCACAAAGACACACAGGTAATCAGATATAGTATGGTCATTTACACACATCCTTCAAGCACGAATAGCCATATAAATTTCAGTTTTATTACATGCTTTGATAAACAATGTTTGCATATTTATATCCACTAGAATAAATAAAATTATTAGAACTTAAATTCTTTGGTAAATATCAATGACTAATTGCAGCAATTAATTTCATATAAAGCAAACCACTCCTTCCTGCAAAAAATATGGCCGTCATAACTGATATAATGTTTCAGCAAGTAACGTCTTTAAGTGTGTACTCTGACATACACCAAACTTTACTATTGATCAGTATGGTATGAGGAATTAATTATCAATCTAAACAAGAGACATCAGTCACATAATTTTAAAGTTATATATATTTTTTCGGACAGGATAATTTTGCATTTATTCTTGAAACGGAATTTATATTATTGTTTTTTTGTAGAATACAATAAGAAATCACATGTTTATATTTGCATGTGCAAAGTTTTTTAATTTTCTATTTTAAGCAGACTAAAGACTGAGTATACTGTACCTCCGGGTCAGTCAACAGGTGGTCCACCTGGTAGTGCCAAGACCTGTACTGGTGAGGCTCGTAGTCAAGGCCCAACTCTGCTCTCAAGGTCCTCACTGCTCGCAGCTCCAGCGTCTGAAGCACACAACACCTGTTAGTCTAATTTGTCTTGTGTTACACACACACACACACACACACATATATATATATATATATATATATATATATATATATATATATATATATATATATATATATATATATATATATATATATATATATATATAAGAGAAAGAGGCAGAACACAATACCTGGTTGGTGAAGGTAACAATATGTTCTTCCAGTTGTTCGCTGGTGAACACAGAGATGGTGCCCTCGACCACAGCTCGCTCTATCCTGGCGGAACCTTCGGATCCACGAAGCAGATAGTTCCCGATGGACGTTCGAATGATGTTTTCGTCTGTCTTCTTATTGCCGTGCATCTAGATAAAAAATATCAGTGATTATAAATAATATAATCAGTTTAAAATAATTGTCGGGTTTTAAGAATAAACACAATTGCTTAGTTCGACTTATTATTAATGAATGCCTTGCACTTTAAAGCCACTCTCTGTATTAATTAGTCTCAAAGGAGGATTAGTACTAAAGCATCTACACCCAATATCAACTTTCTTTCTCCTTTTTGAAGGAATTATTTACTAGGGCGCTGGGTGCCGGTGTTAAATGTCAGATTATACCCTCTGATCATTTTAACCCTGGGTGTGAACTGGTCTAGGCTAGGTACCACTCCAGGGGTTAATCTGGCCTAGGCTATTTTGCACTCCCCTGGGCCAAAATAAACTCCTATACTGTACTTCAAGGAATTTGAATTACATGTTGAGTTATGAAGTCGGCTAATGAGATGTCGATTTAGTGAACTGATGTTGACATGGATTCAAAACACATGTTGGGGCTTAGTTTAGTTTTACATTTAGTATAGTCTTATGTGCGTCTATTACGATGATGCCATTAACAGACTTTCAATTTCTCACAGCCCATCAAACTTCTGCAGCAGTGTTCGATACAATACCTTGTGGCGTTTATCGATTTATACTTTTATGTTCAACAATCGAATATTACAACTATAAGGGTTGGTGATAAATGGCAGTTTTTGAATAAGAGAGCTGCGATGATATCATCCAGTGATTTCGAATTGAAGCATTGATCGTGAAGTGATCTTTTTCGAAGTAATTGTGACCAAATTTTATCATCCTTCTTAGGTCTCCATATGTATCTGCAGTTGTACTACTGTAGTTTAGCAGCTTTATCAATCGTGATTTTTTTTTGTGTGTGTCATACAGAATCTAAGGCACAAAAACTGCATAGAATTATTACATTTTGCCAAAATAATGTGCAAATTCGGAAAGGGTGCGAACAGCAAAAAGAATCACTCACTGGTCTACAGTACAGTATATGAAGTAACGGTAACTGCAGTTGTAATCAGCTGTTGTGTGGTACGGTTCAGCTGACTCAGGGATGTATTTTGGCATGGGGGAGGTTATTCCAGCCTAGGCCTAAGTAACCCCCTGGGTGGTATCTGGCCTCGGCCAAAATAAACCCTTGGTTAAATTGGGCTGGCCCATTTTAATCCCCAGGTCTAATTTGGCGGGGGTTTATTCTGGCCTGCTACACCAGTACTACTAGGATCATAAACTTCCCTCCCCCTTACTCATTATGTCTGACTGCCTTGCCAAGAGTGTACAGTATATGTGTGATATGCCAAGACAGTTGTTGTGATCTGCTAATTGTCTGTGTCGAACGAATTGTGATGCTCAATGTGGTATAATAAATTCTCTTGCTTGTTGATTCTTTTGCCCCTTTGCTGATAGTTTTATTTATATAATAGTTTAGCTATTAAAATTTATCATTTTCGTAATACTTATATCAGAAGTCCACAAGTCAATAAGTGTGTTTGAATGGTATGGGTAGCAGGAATAGTAGTGTTACCCTAAATGATATAACTATTTTCATTACATTTACTCTTATATCTTCCTTTGTCATTATGGTTCTTATTTTTTGTATTATAATCTTTGTCTTTAATTCATATACAATCTTATGGTAACTCATAGTCACGTAAGCTTACCTTCCATTTCACTAGGTTTTCACAGGATTCGAACTCGAGTACACGCGTGAGGGACCAGAGAGTGTCTTCAATGGTAAAGGCGCTTGAGGTCTGCGACGACGTCTTCGACTTGCTGCTTGTAGGTGACTTCTTTGTTGAACTTTTCTTTCCGCCTCTTCCTGTGGTCTTCTTAGAGAACTTCGATTTAGAACTGACATCAGAGACAAAAAAAAATAGTTATGTTGATATTCACTCATTATTAGGTTGGAATATCTTGTAATTGCTATTTGTTCTGTCTGTGATTCAAATGAATAGTGCAAATAGCATTCACTTGTGTGTGTGTGTGTGTGTGTGTGTGTGTGTGTGTGTGTATATGTATATTGTGAAATCGAGATAATTGTGAAAAATATTAAATATGACTATTTTCAAAGGAACTTTCAACATAAAACCCGTATTTGTTATATCACTTGACGAATCTTCCATGTAGTCTTTACCAATTAACGTAAATTAAAGTACAACTATTCTACACACTTCGTCTTCAAGTCCTGACACACTTCCACACACTTTAAATCACATCTGTACTCCTCGTCTAGCAAAACTGACATTATAATAAATTATTCACATCAGATAATTCCATTAGAGTTATCATAGATTCTACTATTCTTGGTTCTTCCATCTTATATATTCCACAGTCACGTAGATCATTTGCCCAACAAACCCACCTGGGAACCACACCTGAGATCAGCACTCACCTTGAGGAGGATTCTTGTCTCTGTGTGTCTATTTCAACCACTGCCTCCCGCCGCTGGTTCTCCAGGACTGTCTGCTCCTTCGGTAGCTGGAAGAGGGAGTACCTGCAAGGGTATAGAAGGCGGGTGTTAGTAAACTCTGCTTCTCTCGTTCTCTCTCTCTCTCTCTCTCTCTCTTATTCCCATTTTTCTCTCTTTCTTATTAAACATTTTTGTTTCTTTCTTAATATCACACTAGCTCATTCTGTTACTCACTGATTGTTACAGTAGCCAGCCATCACAGTCTCGTTGAGCGTAAAGGTCGTCTTTTTGAATGTTGGTTCTCTTCTAGGGTCGCCGTAGTTACCCTGGAGGATCAATAATACTTATAGTGATACGTTATCATGTTTTCCTATATCAGATGTGTATAGATATCATATGTGTGTTTATATCACGTATATGTTGACATCATGTGCCGTGGTATTATATTTACCTTGGTATCATGTGTCTTTATATCAATGGTACAATATGACTTAATAATATCACATGTGTTTTATGTGATAATATGTTTGTAAATTTCTCTGTCCACGTAACTGATTCTATTCTAAAAATTCCTTTAATTTAAATACTAGTAGACAATAAAGCCAGACAACAATATAATAAATCCAATTAATACACTTAACTGATACATACCAGTATTGGCGGTATTCTGAAGATGTTGACGACAGACTTTCTGATGTTGGTGATCCAGACTGGTTCCTGAGGCGCCTTCAGGTACTCCTTGCCCTGAATAGAGGTTACCAAAGTTCAACTGAAACCATTTTAAAATATTACCTAACACTACAGACACACACACACACACACTGCTTGTGTATTCTTTTGATCTGGCCGAATGTCTCTCTGCAGGGTTTGGTCATGACGGTGTCGAGACTACCCCATTCGGCACTGGGATTTGGGTTATTTGTTGTCGGGTTGTTTATCATCCTAGTGTATGCTCGAAATGTTCTCTGAAAACATGTGCTACTGCTGGATCCTTCAGATGCTTAGTATTAAAACCACTTCTAGAGGCTTGTTGCCTTCGCCGTTTTGGGGCGATGAGAAGTGAGAGTTTGACTCTGGAGAGCAGATAATCAGTGTCGTAGTGGTCTGAGCCACGCATGGCTCGGGTGATGAGGACATCTCGGCGATCTCTTTCTCTGACAATGATGGAGTCAATGAGTGGCCAATGTTTGGATCGTGGGTGTTGCCACGAACCCTTGAACTTGTCGACCTGCCTTAAAAAGGTATTGGTGATAGTGAGGTTGTGGGCAGCACACTTGCTGAGGAGGAGTAGGCCAATTTCCCCTATGATTCCCTGTCAGATGTGAGCATCTCTGTCAACTCTGGCACTGAAGTCACCAAGGAGCACAACCTTATCTTCTCTGGCGATTTAGGTCAGCACTCTGCATCCAGTGTTGGGGGTGTATGCACTGATGAAAAGGACTTGACGTGAGTGATTCAGCGGGACTCTGAGCGTCATGAGGCGCTCGTTGATCCCAACAGGCATTTCAGTTAGCCTATGTAGTATGCACTGGTGGATGGCAAAGCCAACTCCATAAATGCTGGTTTCTCTCCGCAGCAGAAGAAGGTATAGCCAAACCCCTGGTTTGTGAGTCGAGCATCGTCTAGGAGCTGAGATTTACTAATGGCTGCTATGTCAATATTCTACCTAGCACACACACACACACACACACTCTCTCTCTCTCTCTCTCTCTCTCTCTCTCTCTCCACTTACCTCTCCCCCATCGATGCAGAATTCGAAGGGCTTTTCGAGTAGGTCATTGCCTTGCTCCAGCGGGTGGTACTGGATGGGTAGCGGTGACCGAGTGTCGCACTCTAGTTCATCGTGAAATTCTCCCACTTGGATGTTGCTGAACTGTCAGGTTAAAGTTAAAATATAAGTGGCTGAAGTGTCAAAAGGTCAAATATAAGTTCTCGTTTAACAGTTTTATTTTTCAACTTAGATTTTGCTAAAATGGCAGTTTAGAAATATATATCAGATTATGTACATGGTAGTAGGGTATAAGTCTGAGCATCTTATGCAGTAAATACCAAGTGCTTGTTTATTTTTGCAATATTATATATTTTTCGGGGGATTGAATACTGCATTCGTACATCCATATAGCATAGTAAACCTCCACCACGGTTGAGCCAATGACCACACCTCTCTCTCCTTCATCATCAACTTACCTGGAAGAAGGTCTCATGCTCACTGGACACCTGTACAGTGACATCAATCTGAATTCCTGCTCCTGAATACTGGTCTTTGAGGTCAGGGATCCCAGATGCTACCCTGCCACTGTACCGGTACTGGTACTCCAGACCTGGCTCCAGGCTCCAGCACGAACCTGTGGGCAATACATCTTATGAAAGCGCACGATAATTGTGTTTGCATTAAAGAACAGGAACTTCAAGTTAAGGACTGCTCACCCAAACGTCACATCATACAAAGCTTAAAAGAAAATTCACGGAGCCAGATTCATCCCTTCCCTCAACATTAAACACTACTTGATTTTAAGATATTGGTAAATGATAGTTTAGTAACTTATCTGCTGAACGCCAGCTGAGGTTGGGAGATGCACTGTGATTCGTTTTTGCAAAAGTACGAAATTTTCCTCTCCTATATGAAGAAAAAATCCCACGAAACCTGAATAACTAGACGTCCACCTTTACTGTACGGGGATAATACAAGATGAATTTTTAAATGATATTATCTTCTGGCCCATGGTACAAATCTGGCAATTCCAACCTAAAAAAAATAAACCTCTAGTTAAAAACTAACAAAACACATTTTTAGACAAAAATCAAAATTATATGAACTATTTAAGGTTGCCTTTCATTTACTTTGACCACATTGTGAGATGAATGTTCTCGGTGTTTTCTTACCGCGATTTCGTTACTCAGTCTCACGAGAAAACCTTAACCATGAAATGGACTATCACTCTGTGGCTTATGGCTAGTTTAATAATGACTAATTAAAAAACTATTAGGTAAGTAAAAATTGATATTTGTATGTTAATGTTTCATACCTTGATTATAATATCTAAAATAAGTCTCATAATTTTCAAATTGCATGACCTTGTTCTCGATCTCTGGCACATCCCTCACCACCAGCATTAAGAAAATAAGAATGAAGGAAACTGCCGCGGGCCTATTGGCCCTTACTGGGCAGTCCCATTTACACCCAACCCCTATTGCTCATGTATCCATCCAACCTATGTTTGAAGCTATCCAGCGTATTCGAGTTAATGATGATATTTGGTAACTTGTTCCACTCATCCACTACTCTATTTCCGAACCAATATTTACCCATTTCGCGCCTAAATCTAAATTTGTCTAATTTAAAACCATTGTTACGAGTTCGCTCCTGGTTGGATAGTTTGAGTACCTTTGTAATGTCCCTTTTGTTCAGCCCTGACTTCCATTTACACACCTCTATCATATCGCCCCTCGCTCTACGTCTCTCGAGGGAGTGCAAATTAATATGTTTTAACCTGTCTCTGTACTGAAGGTTCCTAATGCCCGGGACTAGTCTTGTCATTCTCCTCTGAATTCTTTCTAGGGATTCTATATCTATTCTGTAATACGGTGACCAGAATTGAACTGTGTAATAGCGTAATCCAAGTGAGGTCTCACAAGCACAAGATATAGTTTTAGGATGACCTCGCTAGTCTTGTAACACACTCCTTTGTATGAACCCAAGTGCTTCATTAGCCTTGTTTCGAGCAAATACACATTATTTACATGGCTTAAAATTCCTACTTATCATTACTCCTAAATCTTTCTCGCAGTCGGATTTCTCAATAACATCGCTGTTCATTTGGTATCTGGTTTCCCTGTTTACGCCTCCTATACTGAGTACTTTACATTTGTCCACATTGAATTTCATCTGCCATTTTTCAGACCATTCGAAATTTTTTTCTAGATCTTCCTGTAGTTTTGCGGAGTCCTCGTCAGATTTAATTACACGCCCTATTTTAGTGTCCACCATATTTACTTATGTTGCTGTCTACGCCGATATCTATGTCGTTTATGTGTATAATAAATAACAATGGTCCGAGTACTGAGCCTTGGGGAACTCCACTAGTGACGTTGCTCCAATGGGATTTAGTGCCGTTAATGCTCACTCGCTGTTTCCTGTCCTGTAACCACGCCCTAATCCATTTTCGAATATCTCCTTTAATGCCATGAGCCTCCACTTTTCTTATTAGTCTTTCGTGAGGGACTCTGTCGAAGGCTTTGCTAAAGTCGAGATATACCACATCATAATTGTGCCCCTCGTCCACTAATTCGAAAACAGATGAAAAGAATGTTAATAGATTAGTTAGACATGAACGCCCGCTTGTGAAGCCATGTTGGGAATCACTGATCAACTTGTGCTGCACCATGTGATTTCGTTGAAATGATTGCTTCCAGTAATTTGCCTACAATTGACGTTTGACTGATTGGTTGGTAGTTAGAGGATAGTGATCTATCCCCCTTCTTGAAAATTGGTATTACATTCCAGGATTCTGGTACTACACCCGTTTTTAAGGACATGTTAAACAGCTTTACCAAGAGCATACTAAGCTTTTCCTTACATTCCTTTAATACTCTGGCAAATATCTCATCGGGACCTGGTGACTTATTAGGCTTTAGTTATCTATTTGCTTACTAACATCGTTACTAGTCACTACTATCTCGCTTAATTTATTTCTTCACTATTTCTGTATAGAGTCGGTGCCTCGGGTATCATGTTTAAATTTTCGGAGGTGAAAACTGTTGAAAAATATTCATTCAGATTATTGCCCATTTCTCCGTCGTTATCAGTTGGGGACAGCCGGGTGAGGTTCTTAGAAAGGACTTTTTGTGCAAGAGATAAGAAACGTAGGACTAGGGTGTGTTTTCCTGGGGCTGGGATAGGGCATGTAGCTGAGAGGATAGATAGGGTTTTGTCAGTGGAGGGTACCAAGCCAGTAGTGTGTCTTAGTGTGGGAGGTAACGACATAGGAAAGGTTAGGAGTGAGGAACTTTTCAAGAGTTATAGGGAGGCGCTGGGGAAGGTTAGAGATAGGGGAGGGATCCCGATAGTATGTGGTGTCCTGCCTGGAAGAGGAGTTGGTGGTGAATGGCTGTCCAGGAATTGCTATAAATTGCCGACTGGAAAAACATTGTGCAAGCATTGATTGGGCGTTCATTGATAACTGGCAACCATTCTGTGGCAACATACCTGTACAAAAACCCTCTCCCTCAAAGAATGGGACCAGGAAATGCACAATACCTGCAAAAGCCCTCCACGCAAATTGCAGAAGACCTTTATAAGCCAAAAAGGAAAAAGAAAGAGAGCAATAATAACCCAACTCTGCCAACCACTAACAAAACCTACAATCCTCCCAAAACAAAAACTTAACCCACCCAACCATACTTACAATCCCTCCCCCCCCAAAAAATAATAAAATAAGAAAAAATATTAACTCAACTTATCCAACCACTAATCAACTCCTACAATCCTTCCAAAACAAAAACTTAATATTCCCGACCTTTCTAACAGCCCCCTTCCACCCCCCTTTAAAAAAAAAATTGTACATTTAATTCAATACAACTATTCATTAACCACACAAATCATATCACCCCTAAGAAATCCTACTAAACTATAAATCAACCTAACTACCTCCAAAGCCCCTCCCTCTCCCCCCCCAAAAGAAAACATACCCCAAATCCTCCCAATAACTCACCATACCTGACCTTACTAACAATTATCCTCCCCTTCCCCCTCACCCCTTACTATATTGACACACACACACACAACCCCCCTAAGCAATCCTAATTCAGCACAAATCAACATACCACCTCCACCCCCAACCTTTAATAAGTGCTCGCCTCTTCACCCATACAGGTAGGTCATTCCACTCCGTGTTGTAATTCGCCCTTCTTTAAGTGATTTGACCCAATTATTAGTTGATTGTGCAAGTGTTACAGTAGCGTAGTTAATATGCTTTGAGTGAGGTAATGTTTACGTCTTTAACGTCCCCTGAAACGTGCTGTCGTTGTCACAGTTAGTAAGTGCTTGCCCCTTCACCCATACAGGTCCTTAACGCAGCCTAGGCCGTGTCTGTAGCGTGGATGGTGTATCCACTATGTCTGGAGAGATGTCCGAGGTCACGTAGGATCCGTCACCTTCGTGGGACCCGGCCGTCAGACACTTCAGTACTACCTATGGGCCCCATAGCTGGCCCGTCTCACCCTAACGCTCGGCCAACGAGGCGACCCCGGATCGCCAAGCCACACACAACTACCAGCCCCCATCATACTTCCTCACCAACAGTTATAACACATCCCTCACCACCGACTTATTTTCAAGGGGAGATACAATGTATGAGGAAGCCAAAATTCGATAGAGTAACAGAGAGATGACCATTAAGACCTCATCTATGCCAAAACTCACCTGCACTTATTAAGACCCTTCTGCTAGGTACACACCCATCGCCTATTCATTTACAGCACTTGTCCCTAGTGACACACACACACACACACTTACCTAGGAGTCCCAGGAGCAGAACCCCCCTCATGGTGACGAAGGGAGAGAGGGTGGCTGGTGTGGCGCCGTGGAGTATAACGAGTGGAGGTGAGTGTGCTGGGAGGACGAGTATACTGAAGGAGCAGCCAAGAGCGAATACAACGTTGCTCGGTCTTATAAACTCATACACGTGTCGCTGTCACTGGAGTTACATCACAGAATAAACAAAATTTCTCGCTAATCATCGTCTTTTTCTTTTGGTCCTAATTTTATGTAGTTTTATTTTCCGGCCATTTTCCTCTTTCGTATATGTCATAACTACAGATCATTTATCATTGTCATATTACTATTTAATATAAAAGTCCGTCGTGTGATACAAAGTACATAAGAGAGGTAGCACCATATTGGCGTTGTGAAAATCGTAGTTGGTAACTTTCTTTACTTAGCACCGCCCCGTTAGTCATCTGACTTAAAAATACATAAAAATTAAGAAATTGTATTTCTCATCCAAATTTACGGGAAGAAACGTAATATACTGGATTTGGGGGGCATAAATATGTAATATATATAATATATATTATGAAATACACAACATACTTTGCGAAATATACAGACTTATTATGAAAATGATCAAATTTGAGAGGATCTTTTTGACACTGAAAAGTCAAGATAACATTAATAGCGTTAATAAGTATGAGAGAGTAAAATTCAGGATTTAAAATAGTAGGATGGGAAACGTCTGAGGTGGAGGAAAGTGGGAGGGGATGGGTGAGAATGGGGAGGGAGGTGGATCGAGAAACGTAGGGAGGAAGACTACAACAGACTTACCAGGGTGAAAAAGGTGAAGATGTTAAGGGTTAGAGTGAAAAAGGATGGATGAGGGTGAAACGAGTGAAGGGGTAAACCATAGCATTTAGTTTATAAAAAGAGAATAAAATCTTTTAGGTGTGAGTTGGATGTTCGTTCTTTCTTTTTGTAAAGAGAACAGAGCGGTGACTGTAACTCTTGGCTTGGGTGATGCGCGTGACATCACTTCTGTTACCAGCCGGAGTGAGTGAAGTAAAGATGAAGTTAATGTATATGTTACATAGTTTCATATATATATATATATATATATATATATATATATATATATATATATATATATATATATATATATATATATATATATATATATATATATATATATATATATATATATATATATATATATATATATATATATATATATATATATATATATATATATATATATATATATATATATATATTCTCCGGGCTCTTACAGTAGGACGCCACCTCCGGAGGCTCCACATTGTCTCACTGTTCAGTCCCCAAAACTTCTTTCTGTCCATCAATAGTTCATTATATAGATAGATTGTCTAATCATCACTACATATAACAACATCCATCATCACTACATATAACACCATCCACATCACTACATATAACAACATCCATCATCCTATATATAACATCATCCATCATCACTACATATAACATCATCCATCATCACTACATATAACATCATCCATCATCACTACATATAACACAATCCATCACAGATCGGTAAAGTAGTTTCCCAGATTCTCGTGCACACACACACACACACACACACACACACATACACACACACACCAACAGACATATTTTTTAGCATTAAACTGTTGTTATTTTATTGTCTAATCATCAATTACATATAACATCATCCATCATCACTACATATAACATCATCCATCATCACTACATAAACACCATCCATCATCACTACATATAACACCATCCATCATCACTACATATAGCCACATCCATCATCACATAACATCCATCATTACATATATAACATCATCCATCATCACTACATATACACCATCCATCATCACTACATATCCATCATCACTACATATAACATCATCCATCATCACTACATATAGCATCATCCATCATCACTACATATAACATCATCCATCATCACTACATATAACACCATCCATCATCACTACATATAACACCATCCATCATCACTACATATAACACCATCCATCATCACTACAGATCGGTAAAGTAGTTTGAGATTTCGTGCGAACACGCAAACAAAACAAACCCACCCACAAACAGACGGCGGATTTCATTCGCAGGCCACTGTAGGAAGCCCTCAGGGAGGCTCCGTACATTGTCTCACTGTTCAGTCCCCCAAAACTTCTTCGTCCATCAATAGTTCATTAATGGTGTATGTAAGTTCCACCATGTTTTTCACTACAACGGTACAGCAAAGTATATTTTTTAGCATTAAATTGTTATTGTTTTATTGTCTAATCATCACTACATATAACACCACCCATCATCACTACATATAACACCATCCATCATCACTACATATAACAACATCCATCATCACTACATATAACATCATCCATCATCACTACATATAACACCACCCATCACCACTACATATAACATCATCCATCATCAATACATATAACATCATCCATCATCACTACATATAACACCATCCATCATCATAAGTACATATAACACCATCCATCATCACTACATATAACAACAGAATTCACAGTGGCATCCACTTGCAAGATCAGCATTAAACTATGACAATGAGATAGAATATGAAAAGTGCAAAGAAGTATAAAGGAAAATCTGCTGGACTGTGCTACTCTCATGGGAAAGTACTACTGCTAAATTTGGAAAAACCACCACAACCGTTGAAGACGCTCATGCAGGGAACAACACCAGAGTCAAAACACTTCTTGGAAAATATACTGACGTACAATTCATGCTTCCAGATGACATCCTTTGGAGCTACCAGAGTAGTTCGTGAGCACGGATACATACCCACATTCAAAGTCCAGGGTCAAATCTATCACAAAGCAGGATCCCTCTTACCACTGGAAGATAAGCAGGCAAGGTTCCTCCAAATCTACTTCATGGGAGATCATGAAAAACAGACTACTATCAGGTATGGCAATATTCAAGGTGTCAAACATGACATTGTCCTCTCTATCCAAGAAATGCTGCATGAGCACAACACGTATGTACAATCATTTAAAAATGCCCTGGAAAACATGCCTTCTGAGGAGTACAAAGTCAGGATCAAAGCAGATACGACCCTTAAGGAAGAACATGAAAGAAGATTCAATGCTCCTGTAGTTGATGAAGTAGCCATCCTAATTGTCGGTTAAGAGTTTGAGAAACGAGACATCATACTCAAAATGAGAGACAAGCTAAAGGAGAGGACGTTTTTATAGCAAGGATACCTCTCATCACCACTGACTTGCCATTTGAGTTCAAGCGACTTCAGTTCCCAGTTAAAGTGAGCTTTGCCATGACCATCTACAAAAGCCAGGGACAGTCCCGAAAGATGGTTGGCCTAAACCTGGTGTTTCCTTGCTTCTCTCATGGACAGTTCTCTGTTGGATGCTCCAGAGTGGGAACTGGCAAAAATCTGTACATACTTGCTCCTAATGGCAAAGCCGGATTGCTTCAATTATAGGTTGGATGGATATATGAGCAATAGGGGTTGGATGTAAATGGGACTGCCTAGTATGGGCCAATAGGTCCGCTGCAGTTTCTTCCATTCATATGTTCTATGATTTTGAAACGTGACTTGATAAATTTATGATGATACTCCGTAATTATTCACAGCCTTCCATATTTTTCAAACTGGTTTTCTCCAGCCTCCTGTTGCACTGTTTACATAAGCTAAGACACTTCATACAACGATTACGAATATAACATCACTAAAATATGTTAAAGTTTATTGGTAAATATAAAATAACTTCGGTATTGATGAAGTAACAAGAAAAGGGGTACGAACCTCTGGTAGCCTCACGAGTGTAACGTGATCCAGTAATATGTTGTTTAAATACGGTTGCCACCAGAGTGTGTGATAAGTTCGCTGCTTGTTTGTTCCTTGGTCCGTGTGTGATTGGTTTACCCTCGTTTATTCGTTTGTTAGTGTCTCTGTAATTCCCCTCTTCTCTTTTCTTCGGTTATAGATATTTTCCTTCATAAAGAATATTTTTTGTCACTCTATTTCACCATTCCCTATCTCTTCTTCTTTGTATAGTTTCTTGTTGTATAATATTAGTCTTTCTTTGTGAGTTTCCCATCACCATGCTGTCCACATTCCCTTGACCCTGACATGTTATAAGGGCCTGGGGGTTGGAGTGGGATGGGATGGGGTGGGGTGGGATGGGGGTGTGGTTGTGTGTGGTTGGGGATGGGTGGGGTGGGGTGGGCTGGGCTGGGGTATGGTGGAGTTGGAAAGGGTGGGGTGGGGTCTCATTTTGTTTTAACCTTTGCATCCTTGAAGATGAGTAAACAATAAAAATGAATAGGCAGTTTATCCTGTATTATATGAGGGTATCTGTCACAGTAAACACGATAGTATTCCTGTTTGGTATTCTTACTATATGTATGGATTTGAACATGCGTGTTTTATATGTTTAATTAAAATAAGAGTTAGACAGACAGACAAAGTACAAAGAAACTGTGATTGTGATAATTTCTTCTGTAATTATCCCGAATTCATCTACCAACACTACTGGAGGGCATATATGTTTTAATTTTATTTCTCACACCAAAAATTTAAGAATAATCATTATTAGGCGATTCTTTTTACTTACTGTGTACCATGCTGTGCCCCACTACCTTTAACTATTATATCCTAGATGCTCATTGGATGTCTTTTCCACACTAACCAACAAAAGCCTCAGGTCATGTTTGTAACTTCTTGGCTGAGTTACTTCACTTTATTTCGATCTATTTCCAAAATTACAATAAACATAGATGTCGTGATCTTAATAATACTAATGAAGATAATTATAAAACAACAACAAAATACTTACAATTATGATGCTAATATAACTAACGATAATTATGCTACTACTGCTAATCACCGTCATGTTATCGTAGTTTACTGGCAGTTTTCACGCTTACTAGGGTTGGCCAGGACTACCTATAGTGATGGCGTCTTCCCAGTTGCTGGCAGACAGTTTTGAGGAAATCCTTACGACTGGATGCCCTTTCTATCGCTAACCCATTAGTATAGAGGGAACTGGGCATTTTATGTAGGACTTTCAGGTGCCATCTTAACTGGCAATGCAGAGTCGCAACTATATAAGGTAATGGAATATTGCCCGTCTACCTATGAAAGCTA